TTATTATTATATTAAAGTATTTAGCCGAATGCCTTATCATTCGATAAAAAATATTAGATTTGAATCAAAAATGTACATACGAAGTGGTTAGGTTACGCGATAATTCGACTGATAACACGGCAAACATAGCTTCGATCACAAAAAGAGTGAACCTGCCATTGGAAATGAAATCCAGGTGGTACAGGTGGCTGTAAGAAAAAAAAGCTTATCTATTTCGCTATCCGTTATGCGATTCTTTAAAAAGAAGCTAAATTTAAATGTCTTATCTAGTGGTCAATAGTCGGTAATATTTAAACGACAAATAGTAAATATAGTTAGAAAATTCTGAGAGATGATCTTAATTTTACGCAAGAAAGGAAGGCGATGCTAGAGTTTTCTCATAAGGAGAAAGGAGAATGATCCGTTCTTGCCAACATGCGTTATCACCGATATTTGCTGCAAATTTATTTGTTGTAATTAATTTTGGCTATTAGATTAAATTATATCATAAATCGAGGCTGATTTTCGCGCAGCAATATGTTTCATTCTAAGCTATTTCAAATTTCTTCTGGTACTAAAAGAACGAATACAATGGGTCAACACTGGAAATAAATTTGGAATGCATTGGAACTTGGGAGCTTATTTTTATCTTGAAATTGGAGCAGTTAAGGATGAATGATAATTCTTGAGTGTTTATTCATTGGCGAAATCATTAAAAATAAGCCAGTTGAATAGTCAAAATGTTGCATTGCCTAAAAGCGAAGTTTTTCAAAATAGTTTAAAATTTATTCGCTTGCAAAGAAATTGAAACCTTTTTCTAAATAAAATGTTTTAACTTATTAAGATGGTGAATTCTTCAATTTTCGTAAATTCTTCAAGTTTCGTAAATTTACGACGGATATTTCATTGTTTTACTCTGAGAAATTAGTGTACTGCTCTCACATTTAACAAAAATTATTTTATTATTGTATTTAAGCAAGAAATGCCAAAATGGCAATTTGTGACCAATCTGTGAAGGAAAATTGGTGGTTGTGAAGCGCATTTTGCAATTTTCACTGAGTCTCGTTAATATTTGAATTGGCCAAATGCATTTTATATTATATTATAATAATTTATAATAGCAATAAGCGCGCGTTGTCACTGATATTACTTTAAATTATAATTTTTCAGTAATAAACTTATGAAATCATTATTGAAATAGAAATTTATTCGAGAAACCAGTATAAAAATGTAGCAATTTAGCAAAATATAACATCGCATTTCATAAATGCAGTGAAATAAGTCGGCAGCAATTTAAATCTAAAGCAAAAAATTTTTTTTGCTTAGCTAAATTAAATACAATGAATAATGATATGATATAATTAATATGACGTAATGATCAACGATATGATAAATTTCAAAAACGGTTATTGGAAACGGTTATTTGCTTACGTTTCTATATATATAATTATCTTCGTTCAGTTAAATCGTAGAAGGAAATTTTCACCACGATTCAAACACCATTTAAATATTATAATTCATTTTATGATTTATTCATTCATAATAGGCCTAAAGATATAGGTTAGTCTCCAGCTGATATCCTATTCTTAATGATAGTTTTACTCCTATGCAAGCGCAGGAATCGAACCAGAATTTTGATCCTAATCAAAATCCATCCTATTCTATTTATTCGCTTGGCTATATCGAATAGGCTTCGCAAAAAGTTGTTATTGACAAGAAAATTCTGTATAAGACATAATATATGAATATATGAATAAGATTTTGTCCAAAATTTTATGCTTCATATACAATTATTACCTATATGCTACATAATATTTTAATGTACTTCAGCTAAGATTTATTTCTGACTGGCTAGATCAAATTGCGTTGAAATCCTTTCATTACAGAATTTAGTTGAAAAATAAGCTGTTTAATAAATTTGGATGATTCTGGATGGATCTAAACATTCTTCTTCGTACTATTGGCCTTTCTTTCTTTTAATGCCGGTCACAGGGTTTAATAAGTAGCAATATGCGCCAGTTTTTGTGATGGATTACGAAATGATATTTTTAATGAGTAATCGAGCGAATGTTGCAATCATGTAATTAATCTTTGTCTGCAGATGTGAAAGATGCGGCAAGAATAATCACAGGCAGATAAATTGCTGATGACTTCCACTTTCATTGGCGTTTTAGTCTTATAGTTGGATCTTGCTTATTGCAGTCAAATAGATCCGAACCTTCAATTTAAGGTTAAATAAAGGCTTCACAGACGAAAGAGACTAGATGGAGCTGCCCGAGAAATTTCATTTTTTCCATAGCCATTTATATATGAAAGTGGATTTGAAGTGGATTTTCAAGTTAAATTTGAAGAGTTTGAATTCAAACTGTTGCCACACAGTCGGTCTAGCACATGCTGCTGTCTTTCTGCTGTTAGTGACAAGGATCACATTGTTAGCGTGTTGATTGATACTAGAATTGCCTTTTTCCATTCACTTGACATTTGCTCCTTCTCCTGCACCAGTGAACCACTGCAAAGCAGGTATCATGAAGGAACATTTAAAGGATTCAACTCGCAGACTATCTTCTTCAGAGGGGCTTTATTAACATCAAGCTTGCGAATTAAAGAGATTATTTTGTAGTTTGTAGTTCGCAATTGCAATCATTGGCCTGTCTCCATATTTAGTACCACATTTTTCAATATCAGTTTTTACCGCCTCGCCACGGATATTACAAATTTATGGAGCTGCCGACAGTTAGCTGTTGACATGCATATTTCGCCAGCATGGTTAGATATATATTTCTATCCTTAAGAAAAAACCAAAATTTGTGTTTTAGAAATGCTTTTGCTGGAGTATCTTGAATATTGTTTTCATATTCCTCAAAGTTTTATATTCAATCCATAACGTTTGATTACGACTAAAAATCTTCGACATAATCTGCCGTATAATTTATTTGGTCTTTCCACCTTTAAATTTTCCTTACAATGTATTTCCATTACGATTAAATCTTTTATAAAAAAAAGAGCTTGGAAAACTCGATTTGCTTTCATTTTTGGCTTAATTAACATTGATTATCATGATATAAAATTATCATTAAATGCCAATATTTTCAAACAACGGTGATAAGAACTTGTTTACAAATTGTGCTTCTTTTTTACTTTACAAAAGTTCCTTTCAATTAAAATATATGGTTGCTTAATTCTGCCGATTGAATGATTGAACAGCATGCATATATATAAATCAAATTTAACAGATGGCTTTCGATTAATTAATTGGAAATTTAACGAATTATGAGAATAACAGAGAAAAACGATTATATAGACGACTTATCATACGAAAATAGATTAAAAGACTACTTTATTCTTCATTAGCTAAGTTTTTTATAAAAAAATTTATAACTGGTTTAGAATTATAACGAAATCTTGGAGAATAAAGGTTGATATATCAATGAGAAAGAGAATTATTCCAATGTAATAAATTAATTTAAAAAATTTATCAAGCATTTGATGAATTTCATTAAAATTATGAGCATTTTTTGGTTTCAGTGATATGCAACTGCACAAATGCCCAAAAGCCATATATAAAACATGACTTAGGGCAAATGTAAAATCTGCTGATTGCATTTGCATTAGTGTTTAGTTCATAGCTCAGAATTTATGGTGATTCACTACATATTCACTACATACAAATGCAAAATAAATATTCAATAATCCCATCCAATCATTTAATATTTTATTATATTTGTTAATATACCATATTTTTATCATATTTGATTAGCGATGATAGCACGAAAATTTTAATTTGACTCTAATTCGAAAATTTTGAACTTGTAAGTTTCAAAGCCTCAAAATAAAATATCTTGAAAAAATTTTTTGCTTTACACGTTGCAAGCAATCTTTAACACCAAAGACAAGTTTCATCGTTGATTTGATTTTGTCGCGAAAAATTTATCTTATGCAATTTTCTGAGAATCTACGGATAATAGAAATAAATGGAGAATTCCGGTTTGACGAATATGTTTGCCTCTCCACTACGAATTATTTCCTCAAAGGAAATAAAAAATTTCGAATTTGTGTAAAAACATTTAATATCAAACCGTTCATGCAGAACATTTAACACCAAACACAAGATAGAAAAAACTGGAAGAAAAAAAAAGCTATAAATGGCAATTCCAAACACCAGTTTCATTTCATTTTGGAAATATTCTGTTCTAAGCAGTTGGAAATTTCTTACGCCTTTATCTTACCTTTTATTTATAAACTTTTCCTTTCAATCTTTGGTATAAAACCATTTTTAGATTATTTGGTATTCGTTTTGCCTAAATCTGAGCCGAATTCATAAACAATTTTGATGAAAATGAAAATGATTCGAATTTTTATTTTATATCAAAATAAAATTAGTTCGTAAAATATTAAAGAAAGAAAATCTTGCAGGGACTGAGTAGTGATGAAATTTTGCAAGAAATTATCTGCATTTTTAATTTTATTCAGCTAAATATCAATCTAAATACTTACATTCAGACATGAAAAAAACAAGTATAGTTTAGAGATCTTATGACAAATTTGGTTTTTTAATTGATAAATGATAATTCTCCGCTAATGAAAAATATTTAAATTCCAGTTTTTTATGAGAAGCACAAAAAAAGCTCAAAAACTAATCATTTCGAAACATTTATATATTTTATTTGATTTGTTCGTTATTTTTAGTCTAAGAACCAAGAATTTATTTGGCTTATATCTGAGATTTCCATCTGGAGTCTTTCTCTGGAGAATTTTAAGATTTCAAGGGGGAATTTGGTAAAAGCCTGCAAGCAAGCTGTGAAGCTCCAAGCCCATATAGCCTTCTCAATCGAAAGGCACCATCGGGATAATTTTATAAAGCAAAATTGAGAACCACTCCTGATCATATCAGTTTATTTCGAATCGAATTTCGATCCTATGAGTTATAACCACATTTTATTCTTGTATGCTTGATGATTGTTTAATATTACCTATTTATATAAAAATGAAATATTAAATTTGTATACCATTTCAGAGTCACTATGAGTTTCGAATATGGTAAGATAAAAAGAGAAGAAGCAGACAGCTTTCGGCGTTCAGCTTTTTTCGGAATTACCATTTCTACAGTTGCTACTTTAACAGCAATTATTGCTGTACCAATGCTTTATAATTATGTACAATATATACAATCATCGTTACGCGATGAACTCGATTTTTGCAAACATAGGTCAGATGGCCTTTGGCACGAATATTCGATTGTACGAAATTTTATTTTTTCCACTGCATGTACATCATGTACTCATAATTACAATAATTATGCATTTGTCGACGGTAAATTTTCTAAAAACTTTTCTTTAGGCAGAGATGGCAACTGGAATCCAGGACAGATCAAAACGTGCAGTCAAACGTCGCGCGTATAGTCGAACGGGAAATGTTGCTAAAGCTCGAGGTTCGGCCTCTTATGCCCAAGAGGGTTATGAAAGACCTAGTGCTTCTATAGGAGCAACTTCATACGGACAAACTGGTTATGAACAACCGAGCGTGGGCGTAGCTGGCCCAAGTGAAGGTACTTGCTGTAGCTGCGGTGCTGGATTAGCTGGGCCAGCAGGGCCACCAGGTGAAGATGGAATACCAGGTATTATTTTAACAATGAATCATTCTATTCTATTCTTAATTATGGTCTATGAATGAATTAAATTCGAATTAATTTATAGGTCAAGATGGAGCACCCGGTCATGATGGCCCGCCTGGTCAAGATGCTCCAGAGACTGCAGTTCCTAGCATCAGCGACTTTTGTTTTGATTGCCCACCTGGTCCACCTGGACCGGCAGGGAATGCTGGACGTAAAGGAGCGCCTGGCAATGCAGGAGCCCCCGGAATGTCTGCGAGTACGTCGCTTAGTGGGCCGCCTGGACCAGCAGGCCCAGCAGGCCCACCAGGCTTACCGGGGTCTGAAGGTCTCAGAGGCCCACCGGGCCCAGCAGGGCAACTCACAGAAGGACCCGGACCAGTAGGCCCCCCTGGGCTCCCTGGACCTCCAGGATTGCCTGGACCCGACGGGTTGCCTGGCACACCTGGCCAATCTGTGCCAGGACCAATAGGGCCGCCAGGTGATGTAGGACAAGCAGGAGCTTCTGGTAATGATGGAGCAGCAGGATCACCCGGCGAAAAAGGAAGAGTTGGTGGTGGTGGTGGATGCGACCACTGTCCCCCTCCACGGACTGCGCCCGGTTATTAAGATTAAGATCTCTATTTTGAATCATATTGAATCATATTTTCTATAACTGATGAAAATAAAATTTGTAATTTACCTCTGTAAAGATGCATTCAGTTTTTTTTTTAACCAAAACAACGGGATAAAATGATAAATTTTTGAAAACAATGATTGTTATTTGCCATTCGTAATTTTGAACAGATCAAACTATCATCAAATACAGTTTCTATTTCAAAAATAAACTTTTCCATAAAAATACAAATGAACAAGAAAATGAATATTGATAAGATAGATTTGCACAAAAAATATTGCATTTGAATATTTTCAAACGATTAAATCAATTATCATCGCTTGAATATTCTTATAAATCATATTTCAAGCGTTATCAATTAAATTGAAGAGAAGAAAAAATTAATAAATCATTGTTGCTAAGTTCGGAAAATGAAAAAAGGCAGCATTCATGGCAAATTATACTATTTTTTATGTAATTTTATGTAATTTCGATGGACAATTATGCATATTTGGGATCACTGAAATGTCCATTTGTGTTTTTTTTCAATCATAATTTTAGTCTTTGAACTCGATTCTTATATTCCATTTCCATTTTATTATAATTTTGCAATTCTGCAATTTTCTTTAATGATAACCATGAATTAATTTTCTTAAATGCAAGTAAATCAGTTATCAAACTGAATTTAACAGTTAACAGTTATCAATTTATCAATCATTTTATCAATTTTAATGCTTTGTTTGCTCCTAAAATAGATCTTTTTCTCACTCTGGTTGCCTTTATTCACAAACGGCCATTTCTACGCTAAGGATAATCATTTCTTCTATAAATTTCTTCTTTTATAAATGATTTTCACACTGCACTATTGATGAAACTGTTATAAGTAGCATTTTGCATCCAAAAATTAGAACGTTTATGCCAAAAAATTGTACAAAAAATGAAGAAAAAACAGAAAAGACCAATAAATCAAAAGAAGAAAAAAATGCGGGCAAAAAGATTCAAGTCAAATGATCGTATGTTAAATAGAAAGCCGCCAAAAAATACTTTTTTTCTGGCAAATTTTAAGAAACATGTTCGCAGCCGTTCTCGTAAATGAAGAAGTTTCAGCTGCAAGGAATCCGAGGAAGCAATTTGGGCTATTCCGCTTTTCCATATAAATTTATTTAAGTAAGCGAATCACTTTTAAATTTTTTTTCTTCCTTACAGTACATTCTGAATTGAAGATTCATTGAATGCAACTAGCAAATATTAACCGTTTAATTTAATCTTTAATTAATTAAGTAAAAGGGAGCTTTGATAAGAAAGATTTTTAATGTTGTAATTTTTTGCTTTTATATATATATATATGGAAAATACTTATATAGTATGGAATTTGGAAAATTGTTGCTTTTTTTCATGCAAATGTTTAAATATCACGGCTTTTCTTTATCATTTCAAACATATTTTTTAACTTTTTGTTGATAATATCGAATAATGCTCATATCTCTTGACAAATTTTGGAACAAAATTATCAGTTGCTTTATAAAAATTTAATAGAAAATAATGATCAAAACTGTGAAACGACGAAAGCGAAGTGATGATTCTAAAGATTTTTTCATCGGCCTTGAATGGAATTCTCGTATATTAAACGAATTTTGATTTTTGTAGAAAAGAATTTTCCACAAAAATGGTTCATTTGCTCAAAAAAATCAAATATTTAAAAAAATTATTCGTAAATTCTTAAAACTAAAAGCAATTTTATGTTCTTTCGATTGTTTTAGGTTCCACGTGGCATAAAATGGGCTTGAAATAGGCCGAACTTATTTCATATTGATATTATCGGTAACTTAAAAACAAAATATTTAAAAATAAACCATGTTAGCGAGAATTTCGTTATAGGTCAGAAAAATAAAATCGAGATTGTCCCAAATGGTCCTTTCGGTGTCATATTTGGTTTTCAGTTACGGGTAAAACCGGAGTGAATGTGAAATCATAGAATAATATAATTACTTTAATTTTCCCTCAAACAGTGAACAGATGTATTGGAACTGTTAAAAATTAAGCAATTTTGAATAATAAAAGATCTATTTTTCATCTTTTGCATTTTAATAATTTTGTTTAAAATTGTTTGAACTGTCAACCAAACTCATAAATAAATTATCCTGTCATGTTGTATACAAAATTTTAAATTTAAATTTAAGTTTTAAATAAAAATTTATTCGTGATAATCTGATTTCAGCGAGCTCAATAAAATTTCTTCTATAACTATTAGATTATTAGAACTATTAGACCCATAATTTAAAGATCGTCTTCTCTACGAGCACACCAAAATTTACACTAAAAATTTTCGTTTGACAATTTTTCTCCTTATCATGGAAATTCATTGGATTTCAAAAGATTCATGTTGAAAACGTTCCTCAGACTTTAAAAAAGACTATATAAAACAGTGGTATGAGATTTTATTGATCCATTCGTTCAAGATGCTGAAGATCTGAGATCTTCATGAACTGGCCACATTCGCGCGCATGTTGTTAAAGGATAATCCATTATACTGATGAAATCAAAACATTGCTTTATATCAATTATCTATTAACAACAACTATAAAGAATATTTAGCAAAACTTAACCAATCTGAGCGACAATTCAGCAATTATTTGTTCAATGCATACGGCATACATTTAAGTTCTCATTTAAGTTAGGCCCATACTGTAAAGCAGCCTCTGAGTTAATATTTTTAAAGAAAATCATGTAATGTATGGGACCTCATAGTGCATTTTACACTATTCCTCTATTCCTCCACTATTCCTCTCTCTTCCCACCTTCCCCTATATAGTTCAGAAGGCAGAAGGCGCGAGCCAATACAATTCATTTTAGCGAAGTTGATTTTTTTTAAATAGAAGTATTTTTTTTAAAACTTCATCTTAATTTAATCTAATGTCCAATTCTATACTCAATTCTAAATAATATACCCCATTTTTATTTTTTTCGTTTAACAGTAAAATATTCGGTTGCATCTTCGTCGTGGTAGATCCCCGTGGATCGCGAGAGTGTTCTCGGTTTCCACTTATTATAAATATCTGTTCACTTTGCTCAGAACAATTGAATGATTTAATTAGAATGATTTAACGGAAAGAATTTATGGATTATACTGAAAATACGGAAATTGAAGTGCTAATTTGTTAATTTTTTTACAGATCCATCTATACTTATAATTTATACTTTCTCTCCTCTTCTAACAGTTGTCATATTATTGGTTAGACTGGCTCTGCTGGCTGCAAACGATCCAATGCCATATCTGAGATTACACATTAGCCATATAACATAAATCATTGCTTTTTCTACCCTCTCATGAATCGTTGAGTTGCCTATGTTCAATTCTCTTATATGAATTCAAATTTTGATTGGTCATTTGCGCTTTTTTTGCCATCCATTAAGTAGAGAGATATGCAACAGTTCCTCTGATGGCCGCAATCAGTGTAGGAGACAGTATGCGAACGTTGACGCAATCATGCAAAGTTTTATCCGTTCGGCGAGCAGATAAAATGTGTCTTAGACACAAATAGTCGAAGGTAAATGGTAAGCTTTTTAAATTTAATTTAATAAACTACTTTGCAAAAAAATATGAAAGGTATTTATCGAATTTGTAATATTCTCTCGATTTAATATTTTCGCAAATGTTTCTCTAACATAACATCAATAAAATTGTTAGAAAATCGAATACTTGCAATATTTTCTTAATTTCGTATCATTGTTCCATGAAACATTATACTTGTTCCATATTCACAGAGATGATTTTTATCGAAAAATGCAAAAATTTTTAGGCGATTCTGAAGAGAAAAGATGAGACAGAGATTTTCATATCGCAAGTGTCACTTCAATAGCGATGAAGTATTTTTATGAATGAATTAAAACAACGAATAACAAAGTGGGAAATCCATATAAAAAATTATTATGAAAGCATTCGATGTTCAAATGAAGTATTCTATTCCTGTTTCGTACAGTGAGCAATTTCAAAAAGCGCCTCAGGCAAAAAGAGCAATTATTAATCGAAAACAATAAGAATTATCAATCGTTTTCTCTGCAATCGCGAAAACTTGATATTTAAGTGCATTAAATCATGTCAAAAGTTTTCGGCGAGGAATTTGCTATAACTGATGTTGAATTTTTTTTGCCGAAAAACTGCAAAATAATTCTTGGAAATCTTATGTGAGGAAGCCACATGTCCTATAAGCAAATAAAATTTAACCATATTGAAGCACATTTAAAGAATAATTAAGCGATATTCTAGGCAAAATTTTTTAAAATTAAAATTATTACACTAGACAACTGATAATATTCTTAAGAGATTAGCATGAATAAAATTGATAAATGTACATTATTTTCCTAATTTAGTTCCACTCACCATTTCGTTTGGCCGGCTTCGTTGCTTATCAGTGAGTCGCTTGGGGTAAAAATCATTGTCACCACCTGGATTTCACTTCTAACGACAAAATTCACATTCATCAAGGGACTGAACCCGTAGTGTTTAATGTGCTTATAATCGAAGCAAAATACTTGCATCCTTTCCCAATATATTCCCCATTTCTGACCAATGATTTCTTTTAATTTAAAGCATCTTTAATTCTTTTTTTTGTCTCAGATATAAATCGAATCACGCACTTAGTTGACGTATTTATTGTTTACCACAAATTGCCCATCTGCTTTAAATATAATTATAATAATAACGACTTGATTGACAATTAATATGATTATTTCAAATAGAATAAAATATTTCAACTGGGAATGTACCATATTTCCACGTTTTTCTATCATTTCACAACCAATTTTGATGTTCACTGAACTTAATGAACTGTATGAATTGTTTGTCAAAATCTAAGTATATAAATTCAAATTGGAACTCAAAAATAAAAACTGTGAGGATTTGCCAAAATTGTGAAATTGTGTGGCTCAAAAGAAAATAGAAAGACTTTTGCGGTTAACGCCATATTCCACTTCGAAATGGATGATTTTAGTAGGTGCAGTGGATAAGTTTGCAAGAAAATCTAAAAGTTCAAGTTGCAAATTCAAGACCAATTTCCCACAGGTATTTCAGTAATGAATTAATGAAGCATATAGCCAAGCAATTATCCCATTAAAGCGACATTTAGGTTTCTATTTTAAAGAATTAAAAGAATTATTCTTCTGCTGCTTACATCGAAAATATCGGATATCGAAAATTCATAATTAAAATGATAAAATGTTCCTTATTCACTTTCAAATTTTTTTGCCAAATCCAACCATAACAGAATAATTTTTCATCGAAATAAGAGATTAAATATTGGCCCGAGAATTTAAAATTTAGGGATTGGTTTTTCAATAATATCTGCAAAAATCAAAATTTAACCTTCGTCATATAAATAATCGTAATGAGCCATAAAGCAAGTAATATCCAACCTAAAAGACAAATTTCCGCATCTCTATTCCGTTGACAGTTTGAAATCTTATCACTTGCACATTCATTCATAATAATCGATAAGCATTCTAAACATTCACTGATTATTTTTTCCTTGCCTGAAAACATCATTTTATCAATAATAATATATTAAAATTCAGCACCCAATAAATAATGCACTCAGCAAACGATAAAAAGCCAATAGGCAAAGAACTTGGCATTATTTTACTTTCTATAGTCAGCGATGAATTGTGGTGCACTATAAACCTAAACGAAACTCCTGATTAAATTCGATTTAGGAATTGCATTACTTCCAGATTTAGATTTTTCTTGTACATATGCTACTTTGGAATTAAAAAGACAACCACTCGAGCTGATCGCAATGAATTGGATGTTTTGCGATACGAAAAAAAAGGAAAATTTATGTTGTAATCAATTTTGTAGCCAACTCATAAAAAATTGGCCTACTTTATAAGTGAGGCGAAAAAACAGTAAAGCTCTTTCGCTAAGAATTTATGTTGGCAACGTTGGCAAATCGTAAATAAATTGATAATAAAGCAAGATGAGAAAATGAAGTCGCTACAGCTTCCCAAATGCAGTTTTAGAGAAGCGAAAACATTCGAATCGCAAATTTGATGAAAAATTTAAAAAGTTTGGCACATCTGCGATGAAATATTATTCACAATAAATTTGCGAGAAAATAATGCATTCATTCCTTATTTAATTCATTTCAGTATTTCGAGTAAATCGAAAATAAAATTAAAGAAATTTCCCATTCGGAGAATATTGATGACGCAAAGTAGATTCGGTTAGTTATTATATGGCTTAAAAGGATTTAAAAAATGGCGCAAAGAGCTATGCTATGAAATTAGTGCCGTAAATAACTTCGCATTTCGGGATTTCTATACGATTTCCCATCTCCAGAAGCTCATTCATGAAATCAATAGCAACTAGTTTGACCACGGAAATAAATCTGTCCACAAATTTATTTAACATATTCAAATTTTTTTTAAAACTAGTGAATTTGCATTTTTGCAAATCCTTTTGAAATTAAAACTTTAAATTTTCACCGCAATATTCTGCAAAGAGGACGAAACATCATCCATAGCTATAAACATCATCCATGTTTCATAAGAAAAATTCCAATGTTTCTACATTCCAGAAAACTAATAAAAGTAATAACTAATTCTAGAAAAAAGCAATCAGTAATAATATTCATAACAAACAAACAATCATAACAAATGATATTATATGATATCTTTTTTACTAAATATTAATAACATTAATAAATATTAATAAATAAATATTCGAATATTTTGAAATTAATTATTCATTACTTTAGGAATTATATATTATTGCCTATACTTAAATTTATTCTCTTTTATCATTTCTGGTTTAGCTCGTTTCAAAAAGCTATAAATTGCCAAATTTATAGCTATTTTATTAAGATTATGAAAGAAGTCGTTTCGCCACGGTCATATGAGAATGGATGAGAAAAGTACTTTCATTTCTAACTTTAGCTTCAGTTAGTTTGAGCGAGAGGAATTAAACCCAAGCCAAGAGGCACTCGATCGAAAAAACAAAACTCAACCAGTCTCCATTGTCCCGGTGATTATATTCGTTTAAAACTACAAAACCAAATAAGCATAAATGTTAAAATGCAATGAGGGTAAATCTACTCATCACTTATTTGCAAAAACGTATTTTGAAAAAATATTCGATAAACTCTAATAAATAAGAGGTGTAAAAATCAGTCCGCAACATCATATCACAGATCTTGAATAATAGTTATTTTAATAATAGTTAGTTGATAATAGTTACTTTTGCTGACAGTTATGACGAAATGTAAACAATGCTAAAAAACGTATCAGCAAATGCAGCGAGAATTAGACTCAGGGTGATCGATGCAAATAAAATAAAAATTTTTTCGTCTTATGCACAATAAGCTGATAAAATGCTTATTTTTATCAATTCATTGCCGGTTCAGGAAGTGCCCAATTTTAAATACCTTGGATCTATTCTAATACCGAATGGCCAGGCAAGATGATATCACAACCCGGATTACGGCAACTAGAAAATATTCTTCCGGTTGACAAAACTTTTATGGAGCCGTCGTGAAATCACCATAAAAACGAAAGTATCTATCTATATTGCAGCGATTCGTTCTAGCTGTATGGCTACGAAATATGACCGATGAGAGTGGAACATATTAAGAAGCCATTAGCCTTTGGCCACTCATGTCCAAGATATATTCTACGGATTCCCCGAGCAGATAAACGGATAAACGGATAAACGCTCAAATACCATCTTAAAATACCATTACAGAGCGTGGGCTTCGCCCAGTTAAGATATTTTCTTCGTCGTTCTCCACAGGAGTTGATATGTATTTCGTTACTTGCTAAACCCTGTAATGGATGACGTTAAAAATGAGGTGGGTCAATCAAGACTTCGACTGAAACGATCAAGAAAGACTTTGAACTTGCCAGCAACATATGGGACTTCGATGATGCTTCTATCATTGTCGACGATGGCATCAAATCGCGATCGCGCAGCTTGGAAATATTTTGACCTTGTAGCTAGCAGAGCCAGCCTAACCAGTAATGGCGAGAGCTGTTAGAAGAATAAATCAGAAGAATAAATTAAAGACAAAAAGTTTTTCGTTAAGGAATCCATCAAAAATAAATTTTTTCGAATTTCAAAAATATTATTTTGTAGTAATTTAGGGTTAAAAGCGGTTAACGAAAAATTCGCTTCAACGAGGCCAATCGAACAGAATTCATTATTAATATTTCATGAAATGAAATAAAGAAATTTTATTATATAATCGAACAAAATATTTTATATATAATGAAATAGTGTATTCATATGTTCGCAATAAAATTATTACTCATATAATTGAACATATGAATTGATAGAGATTAACTTGCATTTAAGATGAAGAGACGACCATATTGAATGATAAATTGTTGATTCTGATAAGCTGATTTCATTCATCTTATTTCACGCAAAATCTTCGGTTTTGTTGCACAAATATATTAAATAATAAAGAAAATAGACGCTTATTTATAAAATATTAATTAATAAAATAAAAAACAGATGAATGCAAGAAAGAAACCCTTAATACAAGTAAAATCGCAATAGATTTAGCAAACGATTCCCAAATGAAGCAATTTACGAAACATTTGTATAAAAATATAAGCTTAATGGACAATAAAAAATGAAAAATATAAAAGAAACAAATTTGAATCACCGGATTATTCAGCTTAAAAAAAACAAAAAAGTCATCATCACAATTTTAAAAATAAATGAAAATTGAAAGCAAATAGAGCAGTAGTTAAACCAATAAATAAAAGAATAAAGATACACAAAATCCATACGAGAAATACCTATGATAATAATTAAAATAATTATCAAGGAGATCGAAAAAAATCGAGAAAAAATTTGAAAAAAAATTCCAAGACTTTAAAATTTTAGTGAACGATGGGATAGGAAACGTTTATAGTGAAAGAAAATATGAGAAAAGAATGATCAAAATGATCCGGAAACTGCTAAAATGTCAAAATGTTGAAATGCGCCAAGTGTAAATCTAGAAATTACGTTTATTAAAACATGGCTTTTTATGAAACAATCGAGAATTCAAATTTTAAACAATAAAGAAAAAACAATAAGAGCCTCAGTTTCATATTTTCCCAATAAATAATGGAAGAGAGGTAAATAAAAAAAAATAAAAAACCTGACAACTAACTGAAAAGAAAGATCAAGCTAACTCACAATTGACGCAATTGTGCTGAGAAAGGGCAGTCTGCAAAAAACAAAACAAGTCAAGCTGAAAATATTCAAAGCGCTGTTCATATATATGCAATATTTAAATATGATCATGGCAGCGATAAAAAAAAGGATGTAATCATACAGTATGTAAAACGATTAAAACATGAGAATAAATAGATAGCCAAAAATAGTTTTGTTGATTTAAAATTATAATATTTTATCAATCGATGTAAAATCGATTTTATTTTGAGCAGATTTTGCATCGAACCGAGCTGCAAGATCTCGCACTTGAGATTTATTCAATGACTGTGGTTTTGGTGGGCAAGATGGCTTTTTTTCTTCGGGGGAAGAACTATTGGAAAATTCCCCATGGGGTGGTGGTGGAGGTGGATTTGGAGGTCGATTTATGCTTTCAATATGCGAAATCTTTTTATCGTGCAATCCCATTTCTTCACCTTTTTCTTCATAAAGTTCAGATAAAATATTAGATTCTGGTCGACATGGGATCTGAAAGTGAAATGACGGCTTTTCAAATAGAAATAAAGAGCTCACCAATAAATAAGAAACAGAAGCCAATCATACCATTGGTGGTGCAAATTTTGGACGAAAGCTATTGTTCCTTGAAATTGAACAGCTCGATGGTCCCTTATAAATTATAGAAGCAGCAGATGCCACAGACTTATGAAAATTCGATGATCGCTGTGTGCCAGAATCTCTCCATATAGCATTTAACTCTGCTGTTCTTATAGGCGGCGGACATGGAGGAGGAGGTGCTTTACGTATAGGTACAAGAAGCCGTTGCAGATTCAGTTTTTTTTTCAAAATGTCCCATATTCTAGAAGAATTAAAATGGCAAAGTAAATCTAAGCCACTAATCATCTCATAAAATCTCATCGCACAATCTCATATAATAAAAAAAAAATCTAGAACTATCTTTGTTCTAAGGTACAGTATGACTAAATGGGAATATTTGGATCTGAAATTTTGTTTGCAATAAAATTTCAGATCCTAATATCGGCTGATGCCACAAGAATATTTTTATTTTTTAAAAAAACATTCTCCATGAATTTTTTACTTTTTAATTTTTTCAAAATTTTTCTATAATTGCTACAGAAACGAAAATAAACAAGATGAAAATTAACTGTTTATGTAACCAAATATCTCTGCGACGTTTGATGTAAATTGACGCGATAACAAATAATATGAGCGAACCAATTAATAACCAAAATACAAAAGCTCCAACATGAATTATGTTGCCCTCAGTTGCAGGCCCACTGTTAACCGAACCACCTGGACCAGGTATTGCACAGTCTGTACCACCATAGCCTGGCAAGCAGTGGCAATTCCCCATATTGTTACAAATCCCAGCATCGTTGCACGATTCGGGATCACATTTTGGTGCCATTCTGACTTTTTCGGTTCTGTTTTCACATTTCGAATCCAAACACATCTGAAAAAAATTAATAAAAAATAAAAAATGAAAAACGGCTTTTCTTGAAATAAATAATAACACCCCACAATAGCAGGAAAAAATGAACTTCATTTCTTGCCACTTCCCAAAATAAAAACAAGCACCCTATCTTTGCCACAAACAGCTCCATTCGGTACCATTCCAGGATCCGGACCACCTTTATTATCGAAATATTTAGTCCAAGCAACACGACAAGCAATGCTTTTACCATTATGGAGACGCAATGCCATGTAAGCAGTATGCACCGTCGATGGATCGCCAAAGGCAAGCTTTTCACTTTCATGTGTGCAGTGCAATCTCCCGCACTGAATTTCACTAAAACAAAATTTTTTTCTTATAATCAAAAAAACTATATAGATTGAGAAATTTCTTGAATGTAAAAAAATGTAAAAAAATTATGTTATGGAATTATGTTATGAAAGTTATGGAAAAAGTGAAAAAAATTGGATTTAGAATTTCACCTTTTTTGACAAGCACGAAAAGTATTTGTGTGAACATCATATCCACAGTTGCCGACAGAGTCACCTCTAGTGTTTAGTTCATAACAAATAGGATCAGCATTATCACCAGTTGGACCCCAAATATACTGACACTGTTGCTCACGATTTCCACAGTTACCGTTATAACAAAAACCCTATCAATTTATAATACAATTTTTTTGGTAAATGATAGAAAAAGAAAAACAATACAGCATAAATACTAATGGACTTCTTTCTCAGTATTTACTTATATTATTTAAAAAATTTACATCTGCATGGTCTGGACAGACATGCCCATCCTGAACATAAAAATCTGCTGGACAATATTCCATTTGACCATCACAATATTCTGGTAAATCACAAGAATTCGTTGCTTTACGACAAACAGTTGCCACTGGTTTTATCTGACATGTTTCCAAATCACAACACTCCCCGCTTGCACAATGAGCATCTGCTGCCAATTTACATGTTTTAAAATCGCAACAGCGATGAGTGCACGAGCTCTGAAAATTTCCAAAATTTTTGAAAGAAATGGGAAATGAATGCCATTAAACTAATCGTTTAAAATTCAACTTGAGCTTTAAGCAAAATACCTAAATTTGCATTGGCTTTTTATTTCAATATTATTTTTAATAATGAAAAAACATACTTCGGTACCACAATCACATTCCTCTCCCGGTTCAACAATGGAATTTCCACAACGTGCGCCACCAAAAGCTTTATCTGGTTGATTTTTCAAGCAATAATCGACACCTTTAGATAGACTATTATGTAAAGCGCGAACACTACATTCTGACCAAAACGATGGAGCTGCATTGCTAAAAAACTGTTTGCGTAGAAAAGAATATATAGGCAAGAAATTATTATATGGTAATGTAAAAACAAAACCATGAGAAATAATAACCCTGTAGATGCTGCCATAATACAACTTTGAGCTGGGCACCTACAAATGTCGAAATCGTCGTGTTCCATGCCAAAATTATGACCCATTTCATGAGCAATTGTGGCAGCGACAAAAGGCGCATGACTATGATGATCCTTTAATTTGAAAAATGTAAGAAAAAAAAAGGAACGAAAAAACTTTTTGTTTGAATTTCCAACCTTTTTATATTGAGGCTAAAAATTATTTATGACAATAAACAAAGAAATATTACCATTTCTACACCACCAGAATATTCAAACGAACACATCGTACCTTTATAAGCCTTACCAACAACATTTTTTTCAAAATGAACATTCCTGAAAATTTTTTAAATGAATAAACTTAAACAGAAAAAAACATGAACGCAAGAAAAAAAAATCATTTTGTCACAAAATCTGAAACCAAGTTTTTAAAATAGAAACTAACGTTAACAAATGGGCATTATCATTGTGATGAATTTTCAAAAGATTTTTCCGAAATTTTAAAAAATTTGATAAAGTTTCATCGGAATTCGTTACAACATCAATCGCATTCCAGTTCGCCCACACATCAGCCCAAGACAGAATAATACGAATATTTAAAGGTTGATAAAGCTAAAAAAGATCGTTATGGCTCCGTGCTTGAAGTTCGATCGATTTACTGCATTAAAGAATGAAAAACAAACAGAAGAAAATAAAATACAGAATAAAAAGTATGAAATACATACGGAATTTATATAGTTAGCAATACTTTCGAGTCGATGAAGAACATAAGTTACATTTTTATGATATTTTACGTACTGAAAAAGTAACAAAAAGAAAAATGAAATTATTAAATAGCACTTGAAACTGTAGGTTCGCACAACGTAAATTACTTCACCGGTAAATTAAGCGGAAAAGGATATAAAAGTAAACAAGTTAGAAATAAAAAATAAAAAAATACCAGAGAACTATCAGCAATTAAAGCAATTTCTACGTATCTCCATCGACCATCTAGATATTCCTGATAATATTTAGCAGAAGGTACTTTTCCAATTTCGCGAAGCTCTCTTGTTTTCCAGTCTACGATAAAAAAAATACAATAGTCTTAAGAAATTATAAACTGCCAACGTAACAAAACATGAAAATAAGCAAAAGAATGAAGTAATAAAAAAATATTTTTTAATAATAAACATTAATAAGATCATAAAAAATACAGCAATCATTGGTCGTTTGAGGTAGAAAAAAGAAACCATCATCAGTAGATACCAAAACAAAATATTGACCACCTAAGTGGAAAATACCTCTAAAAAAATAAATCAAAATCGATGGAAAATAATGAAAAAATACACAATAATATAAGTCAATGAAATTTGAGTTAACTTCATTATTAGTAGAATTTCTCAGGCCAAAGTTAGATATAGTGAGAAGATATAGTGAGAAAATATTTCATCAAATATTTTAAAAATTTCAAATATTTTAAAATAGCTTTAAAAATATTTATATATTTGATTAATAAAAAATATTTTATTTAATATTTTATTTTTATTGAATTTTATCTATTTAATATTATTAATATAATAATATTATATTATAATATTATTATTATATTGTTTAAAAATATTTAAACAGTTGAAAATAAAGTTCACCCTATTTCTAATTCCGAGCAAACACTTATCGCACTATGTTCATATTTATCATTGAACCCTTCGAAATGGCAAATTGACATATTCTTAAATTTTAAATTTTAATGAGAAATTTCGAAAAAAAACTTGAATGAATTAATCTGAAAATTCAAAAAGAAATTATTATAGAATGATTGTTTATTAAGTTACATATACATATTCGTCATTTATGTATATTTATATATATTTATTATATATTTACCACTAACCAAATGATGAAATGAATATCCAGAAATAAGACTCCTGAAAAGAATAAACTATAAGTATACAAAAGGACTAAATACCGAAAATTTTTCATAAATATTTTGAATTACAATTAAAATTTAGTAAAAGTAATTAATGAAAAAATTGAAAATTCTTCTGTGCTATGAAACTATAAGAAAGAGAATAAAATTAGAACTAAGAACCATATTCATCACTTATCTCAACGTCGATGTAATTTACTGTAACTTTTTAAGCTGAAGTTTAAGCTTATATTTTAAAAAACAAACCAACGGTGCGTTTAATAAGGTTAAGGAAGATTTCAAATGAATTTTAAAAAAACTTGCATAAGACAAATTAAAAACTTGAGTCAGAAAGGCAGATTTTGTGAATAAAAAAATAAAAAAATACTTATTGCGATAAAAAACAACACCGAGCCATTGCTTAGCAATATTGACAATCTTGAGGTCCAAAATGTTATTTGATAATGCCTGTAGATTTACAAAAAGTCTTAGTTTTGTTAGAAAAACTTTTGAATTGTAAAATAAAATAAAATCTAAAGCAAAAAGAAAAATTAGAAATTATAAAGTTGCACAAATTTATGATTATTTCAAATATAGATATAAAGAATGTCTTACAAGTGAAACGAGTTCTCCAGCACCGACTGATTTTCCAGAATAATAAATAAATACAGGGCAACGAGCTTGTTCACGCATTCCAATGCATAAAACACACCGATAGTTATCGCCTTAGCAATAAGAAAATCATTTTAACTTTTAAGAAAGTTTCAATTATTATTGAACAATGGGCATAAAAATATTTTAAAAAAACTAACAAATACACTAACAAAAAACCTACGCAACACAATGAAATTTAATTTATATGAAAAAAACGAACATCAATTTTACTGCCTGTGCCCTTCTCAGTTCACTCTACATTTCAAATTTAACAAAACGAAAGTCTGTGGCTCAGCTGGCCTGACAAATTAATCATAAAAGTGAATAAGACTTAATTACAATCTTCAACTATCATTTTTGCAAGGTTATATTATATTAAGTGTTTGCAAGGGGATAGAATGGCTCAGTGGGTTGCTGCTCGTCGATACTGAGGTTAGCTTCTCCGCAAGAATAAACCTGCATAAAAAACCGCGTGATGCTGTCGACTCACCTGTGTTTCTATCGCCAAGGGACTTCCTGGCACATTGCCCAATGCAACAAGCCAGTGGATCAGTAATGGTGAGGACTCTTAAAAAAATAGTTTAAATCCAATTGTTGCGTTAAAAATTAGAAAAAAATGCAAGTAAACAAGCAACTACTGAAAAAATACGAATAAATAAACGGCTACTTTCTAGCGAATTTTAATTTGATAAATTTAGTTAATACACTTTACCGAAATCCCTAAAAATAGTTGCAATGGACTTATTACAAATTAAATGAAATAAATAGATTAAGAAAAAATCAAATAATTTATCTCGTTTTGTGCAGTTCTATTTACAACAAATAAATGTTAATATAGGAAAAGTTGTTTAAATCGATTAAAAATTTAATTATCAATAAAATTATAAAACTACTAAACGACAAAAAAATAAATTTAGGAAAATCTGATTATTTCAAATAAATTTTAAGACATAAATAAAGCTTCTAAAGCTTTTAAAATTTTAAATCCAATTTCAAATAAATTTTTGAAGCATAAAATAGAAAAAAAACACATAGGCTATGAAAGATTTACGTTCAAAAACATCAAATGATAAGCACTTTTCCTTTCCACAATAAAAGTTGTTGAGATGAGTTAATACTGTCGCATTGTTAATGTCGCAACCTCTAGAATCATGAAAATTTGACGCAAACACACTGTTTATTTAAATCGTTAATTTCAATCGTTCATATTTCTACCTTTCACCCCATTAGAAAAATAATTAAATACATAAAATTTTCCGCAAAGATAGAAGTTGCAAATTTTACACACTGCAAATTTCCTAAGAAGCAAAAAAAGTAAGACGAATGGAATATTTTATTAAAACGAGATCAGTTACCGAGATACCTGCAAAATAAATTAGGATAAAAACCCGCAAACAATAAGTTCATTTTTCTGAACGTTAAAATGATAAAAACGTATATAAACGCAGACAACAACAGACAAGATTTTTTCGAACTCTTTTGAATATGAAAGTCGAGTGAAAAAACTACTTATATGAAGCAACAGCAACAGCACCTCTAAAATTGTGTCCTAAGTTAACACAGATTTCACTGCATCGACGAGTAATTTAACGATTTTCTGCCCAGATCAAAAAATTTTTCACACAGTTCAAAAGCATCAACTTGGGAAACTTAGGCTTAAGTTAAGGGTACAACTATAATCAGGCATTTCCTGCGCACTATCTGAAAGAACTATACGTACGTGTTCCAAAAGCTACCGCAAATACCCTCCAATAATAAACCAGAAATCAATCGACCAATCGCATAAATACGAAATGTGAAATCGTATGTCAGTGAAATGCCTGCTTTCATCCAAGGGAAATTAAGCAACAAACGGGATGAAAGAAGCCCTCTTATATGCCATTATGCATCGGCAAAGATATAAGTATTGCTAAATGATAAATCTATATAAACAACATTTACTTCAAATAAATCGGCAAAAACTGTCGAAATTTTTTTCTTTTTAATATTATTTAAGGCGATACAACCCGATGCATTGTAATAAAACAACAATTAGACGAACGAATGAAAAAGAAATCTTAAGTTTTCTTCGTTAGAAATGAAACTCGTTTGAAACGTTACAATTAATCACCATAGTAAAAAAATTTTCTCCATAAATGACCAATTACCATATAAAAAAAAAATTAAGGCTAAAAATTAATAGAGAACAATTGAAGCTTACAATACGTGCATGTAAAGACAATTTATATGCCATACCAGTTATGCGAAATCAAACGATAACGTAAAAGAGAGAAACCGGGCGATAAAACCAGTGATTATTAATAAAATTCCACGTTTTTACAAAAGCAAAATAACACTGGTATTCGTATTTTATTTGATAACCAATTCGATGAAGCAACTTTAGAAGAAATTGCATCCAAATAAAAAAAAACTACTTCATCGAATATTTTAAGAGAAGTGTTTCAAATGATGAATGGAGATATAAAAAACAGAAAAAACCAGAGTCCAAATTCTCTCCACTTCAGACTAATAAAAAAATTAAAATTTTAAATCCCTAATAGCAATTTCTAATTTCAAATAAAGCAAAAAAATAACTGAAAATAAAAAAATTTTATATAAAAAAAGTAAGAAAACAACAGAAAAAAAATGGATTCTTAATTTTGCTAAAAAGATAGTTGTGCAGAGAGAGATTTCGATGAAATGATTGATTGCAACTGAGCATTTTCACGCCGATAAAAAACATCCAATTCATCGAGCTCCTTTGAAAACTGAGCTTCTAACTCCTAGGAAATTGCAAATTTTAACTAAATAAAACTGATCGAAGATTTGATAAACTTTATTAAAAACGAAATGTATTTCAAAAATCAGAACAACAAATCTATACCTGCTTTCGAAGAGGCAAACTCGTTTTCCAATCGCCCATTATCTGTTCATATTCCTTTTCGTAAACTTCCATTTTATTTTGTTCTGCTTCCAATAACATTTTTCGCTTTTCACTCTATAGCGAAATTTTAAGTTTAAAAAGTCGAAGGTAAAAAAATGGTTTCGGCTTACCAAATTTTGATATAGCTTTCTTATCCCACAAAAAAGTATAAATATTAATAATAAATAAATAAATAACAATATGAAAATAAATAACATGAATTTCTTCCAATTCTTTAAGTGCTGCCGCATTTTTCTCTCGTAATTCACGCAATTTTCGTGCTGCCTTGGCCTCATGATCCTCAATTGCATTACGGACACGTGCTTTTTCCTTTTCCTCGAAAGCTCGCAATTTCTCGTTTAATGCTGCAGAGTCTTCACCCTTGAAATAGCAATTTTAATTTACCATTTAATTATAGATCAATAATGGTTAAAATTCATCAGTGATAAACCATTTTTGATTACCCAAAACTAATATATCAAAAAATAAAAAAAAATCTAATAACAAGAGAGCAGAAAAGAAAATCGCTGATAACAGCTTCATTAAACAACCAACTTGGCATGAAATACGAAGGCTTTCTTTGAACATCGCTATACGTGTTTTCGATTCTGTTCGAAAATCTTTCGGTAATCGCTTTCTATAAGTGGCATAATTTCGTACCGCTTCCTCTTCATTCATCGCATTCACCTTACGCATATGTTCTAACTCCTTCAAAAATTGAGAATTGAGAACACAAATTTAACCTTAAATACAATAATAATATAAAATAGGGACCGAAAAAGCAAAAAAAAAAAAAAATTGAAATCAAATATGATGAATGATATAATATAGTAAAGCTGAGAATTATTAAGATTTTTAAAATAATTATCTAACTAATTTATATCAAAATTATCAAAAAGTTCATATAAAAAAGAGTAAAAAGTAAAGATATTGAGAATATCTATTGTAACATTACTCGCTGATGCCTGGCAAACATTTGAGTCCTTTGAAGGAAAAAACGATCCTTAAGCTCCTGTTTATATAAATGATGTCGCTCCGTCAACTGCCTTTCTTCTAATTCCCATTCCGCTGCTTCTCGTGATCTAAAAATATTTGACAGTATAAAAAATATAAATATAACAAATCTGAAATAAGATAATTTTCATTTAATTTTTTTTTACCTCAATACGGCGTGTTTCTGCTGTTGGAAAGTTTTCTCAAGTTGCAAAATTTTTAATTTATGAGCCAGCTGTACTCTCATAAGGATAAGGCTTTGATTATTTTGTTGTTGCTCTAGAAACTCATCTTCCTGAAATGTGAAAACAAGTAATGAAATAATTTACTGGTAGCAATATTTAAAAAGAAAAATTAATAAAATTTTTAGAATGTCGAAAATTAGAACGGATATATCCAAACAAAAACTTTAAGCATTTGCTCTTTATCGAGATGTTCCTTACGCATCCTAAATGCATCTTTTCTCTGTGACTTTGGCATTGCATCCACTTCCATTTTCATTTGCTTTTGCTCGTGCTTTAGGGACTCTCGAAAACAACGTAGTTCCCTCTCCTGAATTTAATACAAAAGTATTTAAGTGTAACCTTTCAAAAAAAAATTTATCTATGCTAAAATGAAAATTAAGAAAGAACTATTGGCATAAACACTTTATATTTAGCCTTTTCGATATCTTCTAAACTAACATAAATACCAAAAATGATGGATTGCTAATTCAAATGATTTTGAAATATTAATGAATCCTGAAATATTAAAAGTGAAGAAAGAAACCAATATATTTACTGAAAATTTTTAAAAAAAACCTGGTCATTTTGAATCTTTTTTACAGTTTGCTTTATATCTTCAGCATGTAGATCTTCGCAGTCTTTCATCTGACGTTTCTGAGTTCTAGAAAGCGCTTGCAATTCAATTTCAGAAGCCTTCATAACATTCTAAAGTAAAAACATTTAAATGATGAAAACATTGGTGCATTACATTTGTGAAGAAAATGCGACACTGATATGACAAAGATGCCATATAAGAAAAAGCAATATCGATTTTTTAAAAACTAAACAAGCATCTCCGAACAGCAAAAAAGTAAACTTCTTTTTCAAAGCTGAATCGTTTTGCTTGTTCATTTCTTTGGGTTTCTAATTTGGCATTTAATTCACGTAGTTGACGAGTTTCTTCACGTTGCAAACGACGCAGTTCATGCAATTGCTGTTTTCTAAAAAAGATTCTTGATTCTTGAAAATTGATTCTTTTTTTAAAAAGAAAGAAATAACAAATTTCATTTTAAAAATAATACCAAAGTCCATTCTTTAAAATAAAGACGAAAAGACCGTAAGAAGGAGCATCACTTATGGTATAAAAATTCAGTGAAAACAAAAGTATTACTACTTGAGAAACAAACTGGATATCATTTATTTTCATTACCTCAAGTCAAAGTCCTGCTTTACACCAAACACTTGATGACTCGTCGATGTCATTTGCACACCATCGACCATATATACACGAGTTTTTTTCGTTACAGTTTGTCGGTGAGGCGATTTACGGGAGTTCACCAAATTTTCCTGAAAATTCTATAAGCTGAAAATTAAGATGAAAAAATAACTAAAAAACAATTATTGCAGGCAATAATTACCTTTTGATCATTTTTATTTCTTGGCGATTGATTCTGCTGCAACACTGAAAAATTATGATGCAATGTTATTCTTACCACATAGGACTGATCAATTTATTAATATAAGGAAATAAAAGAAATAAATATTGGAAAAACCACAACCTCGCCTTTCATCTTCATAATCGACAGGAGGTTCAGGAGGAGGAATACTTGTGAAAGCCGAACCATTCATTTTGATCTAAATTAACGACCAATTACTAATTAGAAATAGTGAATTATGCCAAGAAATAAAATGAAATAGAAATTTTATTGTTCAACTAATAAAACCATCATAATGAATGACAAAAAATTACTTTAGATCGGATATTTGCACATACATTTTGCGACTGATTATTTTCAGAGGCTGATGACAGCATACCAAAATAATTGTACTGTTTAGACTCATTTATATTTGAAGATGAAATGGAGCCGTTCGAAGTTGTTGGAACAGCCTCGTGAGACAAATTCAATGAAGCACAATGGCGAACAGTGGATTGTTTCTTTCTAGGTATTAGTTCAGTTTCTGCTACTACCACTGTCTATAAATTGGATCCACTTATATCTATTTATGATAAATGAAATTTTCATTTCACCTATCGGGAACAGAACTTCAATTAAGCGCTTCGAAATGAGCAGTAACTCCTGTTATTAGATCAGAAAAGAAATTGATCACTAAGACCGATAATAGTGTAGGTATAATAAACCTTATTTGATTGATCATTTGGTTTTGAGGTCAATACATCATTACTTTGCCAAAAATGAATAGCAGGCGATTCAGAATATGATTGTGGACGTCGGATTTCTACAAGTGTTGACTCACAGCTCAAAGGTGGTTTAACATTAAACGCAGCTTGCATCTGATTTTGATTTTTGATAGAATTCTAAAACGTTAAGAAATTTAGTAATCGATTCTATAAGCAGAGCTTAAATTAAAAATTGCAGATCAAAAATTGAAAACTTACAGAATGTAAAGGTGCTTTTTCAAAATATTGTGCAGTCTCCAGAACAAATGATTCCTATAAAAGATATGCAATAAAAGGATAATGCTTTTTGAAACAATAAAATCTATCAAGCAAAAAAGCAAAAATCTTTCATAAAAATATACGCCGTAAAACATTACTACAGAATTATGGACTTCAATAAATAACAATTTTTCAATCGATCAAATAACCTTTTTCAAACGAGCTTCATTATTAGGAGGTAGAGGAGCCGATACTTTTTTCGCACAATATTCAGTTTTTTGCTAAAAAAAATTGCATTGGAATGATATTTTTTTAACAAAAAGTTATTCAAAAAAATTGATTTGCTGATTGGATATTGAGAAAGATGCAAATGAATAAAAATTTCTCGTTTTTTTCATCAAAGAAATATATGAAAAATTTACGACTCACGAATTTATCAAAATAAAAATCGGCAGACCTCCGATCAGAAACGCTATAGTCAAAAACCTCTGTTGGAGGTAACTGAAATCAATCAAAGATGTATAGTGAATGAATGAAAATAAAATAAAAAGGAATATGAATATAAGAATAAAAAAAAAAAATAATCGCGTGGCCGACGAAGGCTCTATTAAATTGTCAATGAAAAATGGATAAATGGATAAAAATAAAGTAAAAAAAGCTAACTTCCATTGAATGGGTTGAAGCCGGTCGGAGTAATTTGGGTCCAGATGACACTGATCGGTGAACTGAGGTAACTGGCAACTGAATTAAGCTAATGCAATCGTATTAAAACTGTCAAAATAAATCGTTTCATTTAGCAAACATCGTTACTCTGTTTGATTTGATCCTCAATGGAAAAAAATTTTGACAGTAATTTTGATAATTTTTAACGATAAAAGCGAGTAAGATATTGCTCAAATTAATTTCATTGGGAAAAAAATATTCACCTCAACTTTGAAAGTTTTGCAACCTATTTGCGATTTTTGTGAATAATTGATAATATGGACCACTTTTGCTTCGGCAGGGATGCATTTCAAATTTGCATCATGACTTATTTCAGTAGGAAGTATTGAAAAATTAGACATTTCGTCATCATCCAGTATTCGAACAGTAGTTGATTGTTTTGCTTGCTCAACAATGTTTCGTATTTGATGAGATGGTGCATTCTTAGAATTTAACCTCTCATTGAAATTGTATGCTATTTCACAGTCTTCACGCTTGCCCGTTTTTACCGATATTTTTTGGTCTCCAGGTTTTTCAGAACCATTTTCATTATTATTCTGAGACAAATGTTGAGCCTCTTGTTGAGACATGACTGCTGTGAATTCTAAAAAAATCAATTGTAAAATGGTCCTGAAGCATTCATGTCCAACTTTCCTAAAAAATGGAATAAATGAGAAAAATTCATGGCATACCATGAGCCTCTTCCAAATCGAGCATATCGTCAAGATCATTTAACGCATCCATTATAGCAGACTGACCAAAACTTATATTACCAGTAACATTGGATTCACCGATATTAACCTGTAAAATGTAATAATTTCAGAAAAAAAATATATATATATATATATACAGAAACAAAACAACAACAGTTCTGAATTCGATTTTTGGTGAAATATTCAGAAAAAATTTTAGAAACGCTTAAAAAACTACAAACCTATTTGAAAACGAAACTAACCCGGAGTGGAATTGAAGATGAATCATTATAAATCGATGATCCAGAATGAACTGACTGACTGAATTCAGGAAGTTTTACGGATTTCAATTGGATAACCGATGTTACTCCAGATTCCGAAACCACATTCGTATTTGCTAATGAGATTTTAATAGATGCATTCTCTTCTTTAACGATCTGAATAATAATATTAAGACCCTAATAAGAAAACAGAATTAACCTATGTCGTTCATGATACAGTGAGAAGAAAAACCTAATAAAACAAATGAATAAATATAACCTCAGTGATTTCATTATTCACATCACCACTGTTTACATCAATTGATGATGATGTGTCATCATCTTCATCCATATCTGTTTCCACTAATTCAGTGGTAATCTGTTCAGCATTCACTTCACAAATTAATCGCTTCACTGAATCGCTATCACCATCCCTAATGAAGAATGGATGCTGAAAAAAATTTCCAACAATTATCAATTGATATCGAAAAAGGGTATAATTTATTATTTATCTCTTGAGTTCTTTTACGAATAATCAGATTAAACAAACAAAAATATGAAAACAAAGAAATAAGTGAAACGATCTGACAAATAACAAATCGGCTGCAGAACAACGATTCAGTGGATCTTTGACAAGACATTTGGAAACAACTTCTCGAAAAATTGACGACCATAAATGGGGCTTTTCAAAAGTCGGTGGTTCAGCCTTGATTACCTGCAATAATAGAATATAAAAGCGCACAATAATAAAATCTTACCAATTTTATAAATCTGGCCGGTAAATGATATCAAATATCAGATAATTCCAATGATTTAGTGAAGAAGGTTAAAGGAAAATGAGACTCCGATAGAATCTGACCTCCGATTGATAAAATAACGACAGAAATTAAATACTAATTTTGATAATTAGTATTTTGACAGAAATTACTATAATAATCCACAATTTTTCAGCGAAAAAATTTTCAGGCAAGGTAAAACGCAAAAATGAATGAAGAAATTTATTAAAGATACCTTAAATATAACTTTAGCAGGATTCATATCTGCATATGGCGGTTTTTCTTCAGCCATTTCAATTAAAGTAATTCCGAAGCTCCAAATGTCGGCAACTTTGGTATATCGTTTTTCTGGGAATGTTTCACACAGCATCACTTCAGGGGCCATCCTTTAATAAGACACAAAAAAAATCAAAAAAAAATGCCGTAAAACAGATTCAGTAAAACCATAGCATAAAAAAAAGAAGTAAAAGAATGAACCAATAAGGTGTTCCAATAAAAGTAGATCGTTCTTCCCTAGCATCTTTACACAAAGCTGATACACCAAAATCCGCTAAAAAATTCAAATGAGTAAAAAATTTCCCCAGTATGAAAAATAATCAAATGTAGCTCTAAAGATTTATACGTTATATTATTTGATAATAAATATCCCAGGACAAATATAATATTAAATATTCAAATCTAGATAACTGAAAAAACGAATTATTCTTGAAGGAATTTTATAATTAAATTATTTTAAATTCGATAATTTTTTATAAAGAAACAAATTATTCAATCTTCTAGCCAATAAATTACACTTCATTTTTTAAAAAATACTGTGGAAAGATATCTCAAAAGAAAAATCTTTAAAACGCAAACCAAGTTTAACTTTAGCGTCATTCGTTAGGAGTACATTACCAGCTTTCAAATCACGATGAATTACATTTTTTTCATGCAAGAAACATATGGCTTTCAAGATTTCTTTCATAACGTATTGGATTTGCACCTCAGTTAGCCCACGTGACAACTCGATCATTATAGTATCAATCGCCCCACCACCACAAAATTCTAATAATAACTGAAAGCAATGAAGCCAAAATTAAAATTAAAGTGATTTTGACATATTCTGTTAATTGCATTTATATATAACGAGAATAAGAATTATCCATGATATCGTTTAACTCAAACTCTTCGTCCGTTCATTGGTTACCATTGCATTGCCTATATTTGCTGAATCATTTCTTTGAAGAATGAAGATTTTAACATTAAAAAGTTACAAAAAACACAGAAAATCAAGAAAACCGTTATCCTATTGCCCATAGTATATGCGTCGTAAAGCTGAACAATATTTGGATGTTTACATCGTGCTAATATCTCAACTTCGATCATAACATCGGTGCCTTCTTCATCATCCAAATCGATAGCCTAAATTTCATATTTTTTCATATTTCATATTTTCATATTTTTTCATATTTGTGTTTCATATGTGTTTTCATATTTTTTTTTCTAACATTCTCACCATTACTGGTTAGGCTGGCTCCAATGGCTAAAAGTAAGACGTTTTCAAGCGATCCATCGTCGACAGTAACAGAGGCCACTATTTTTCTATCATCTAAGTCCATATATTGCTGGTCCATCTATATATTTAAAATCTTTTCTGACCATATCAGTCAAAGTCTTGATTGGCCCACCTCGCTTTTGACGCCACTCATCATAGGCTTTAGTAAGTAACGAAATGTGTCAACTGATGTGGTGGGGAACGAAGAAATCAGGATGCTCTGTGATGGTACTGTGACGTGGTATTTGAACAAAAGTGGATGTAAGATTAGGATGCGATCATATAAAATTTTGTTCACTTGCCGAACCCTTTGTATCTTAGAAATAAGTGGTCGAAAGAAAATAATTTCGTAATATTCTCCACTCTCACTGGCTATGTCTCGTAACCATACAGCTGTTTTTTTTATATTATAAAAAACCAAAAAAAATTCAAAGCAGCTGGAAATAAAAAAATTTAATAAAATTTAATTTAATAAATATAATTTAATAAACATAAAATTTAATCAATTCAATTTAATAATTTAATAAAATGTAATATTTTAAATATTTAAAAAAACTAAAGGTAATGGGACTGAAGATTCAGAAACTTACTTGCAAGGTGACGTCTTATAGTCACTCACTGCATTAACTACTAGAACAAACTAGTCCTTGTTTGAATAATATCCAGTTTTAGAAATAAACTTTATGATCAAAATTATGTCAAAATTATGCATGATATCATTTAACTCTTCGCCCCTTCATTGGCTGATAATGCATACTTATATTTCCCTCTGTCTTTCCGTTTATTAATTTGCTATTACCGTTTCCTATACCATTTGTTATCTTTCTTTCTGTCCTTTTTTTTATTATTCGTTTTTATCATTAATGTAACCCTATCGCTATCGCTATATGCTCTGATTCTTTAAAAAAACAAGTCATTTTGTTAAAACTTTCACTGATTTGAAATGAAAAAATTCTATTCTTGAAACAAAGTAGAGAAAATTTTTTTCAAATCTGTGCAAAATTTCCCAATTCAGAAATCCAAAAAATAAAAATTCAACCTTAGCAGCAGCAATTAAATTGTTATTTGCTCGATTAATTGCTTTATAAACGCTACCAAATGCGCCATCGCCAATCACACCTTTCAGCGACCAATATTCATTAACATTTGTTTCCAATTTCACAATTGATGGTATAAATTTCGTCGCAATTTTTTTTTCTTCGCCACGAATAAACCGTTTTAACAAATCAACGATCGGCATAACGAGTTTTTAAATAAATTTTTATTCAATCGAATTCATCTAAAAAATAAAGTTTCTTTTCTTAAAAAAAATTTGATAAAAACAGAAAATCGCAAACAATTAAGGAAATAAATATAATTAATAAAAATATTGAAAAAAAATCTTAGAAAAATCGATGATAAACATTATTTCCTTTAAAAGTATTACTTTAGCGAATTGAAGGCAAATTTTTTTATATAAAAAGCAAAAGAAAATTGAGAGAAAAAAATGAATCACTGATAAGAAATGAATAAATTTGGCGATTTATTGATAATTTAATTCGATAAGTGAAAAAGGAAACTTTAAAAATTTTATGAAGATGACTCAGAAAGGGTTCAGTCTTATTGAAAAGGTTCAGTCTCAACTCTCGATAGCAGCCATTAACCATTGTGTTTTAAGAACTCCACTGGTGCACCACCTGCACCATTTTATAACCAAATGACTCTACAGCCAAAATTCGAACCAACCAGCGAGGTTAATTAGAGCGAGCCTGACCAAAAATAGTAAATGTTAACCACTGTCTTCGTATTAGCTATCGAAAAGCCAAAAACATGACTGCTAATTAATTACCCTTACATTTGAGAATTTTTGCCTAAAAATTTAAGCATCCATTTTTTAAATTTTTTCTCTTTTTAGACTAAATTTTAAATAAAATCTGAAGCATAGGAAGTTATTTCTTCTTACCCAACCTTAATTTGCATTTATTTCTATTGATGCAAAAAATAAAGGAAACTAACGACATCTAAAAACCGGCTGAAAATTAAGGATCAGCAAATAACGTTAATTTATGGCTGCCATTCCCAAACAGGATTTCAAAAATTTCTAAATCAAAATGGCAACGAAACCCCGCCGGCCACCAACCACTTGACCTCTGACATCTCCGGAACCACCTTTACGCTAAGCCCAAAACGCCAACCGTCATACAAAAAAATGGTACATTGATTAGTCATAACTCAACACGATTAGAATGCTGGGCGGGACTTGAACGATTCCCGGATGCGACTGCATTTTTATATTTTGCAGCTTCAATCCGCGGTGCTATTTTGCAGTTTTTGGTGCTTATAACGTAACGAACATAAAAGAAATATTCTAATGGGAAGTTGTGGAAAATTTGTCTGATTCGTCGATTGGGATTTTTAAATTTTAGAATAAATCGTTTATTTAGGAATTTTGTTTGTGGGATTTCGAATATTTATTTTTTTCGATTTTATCGGAATTTTTCTTACAAAACTTTATTTTGTAAAATTATTTAGTAAAAATGGGAAAAAAGCTTCGATTGTCGAATAAAATAAGGAAAAGAAAAGGAAAAGATTTCGATGAAATTGCCAGTGATTTGAGAGAAGGAAAGCGGACTAAGTTCTCGCAACTCGACGCCGATCTTCCAGGTTTTCCTTTTCTAAAAAAGTTAGGAAGGAAACGAATTTCCAAGAAATTCTGTGGTATAAGAGCTGCTAGGATTTGTCACTTAGTTTCGCAGCTCACTGCATTGTCTTTGATAGGGCTTCAGCCTAGAGCAATTTTTGACGAAAAATCACTGTGTAATTTTCTGATGTACAAGTGAAACCAAATTCTATAAAATATAAAATAATAATTATAATAACAATAATTCTATAAAATTAATAATAATTATAATTCTATAAAATTCTTTTTTTAGGAATAAAATATTCTTTCTTTTAAGAAGTTTTGAAATTTTCGGCCCTCTTTATGCTTTAAAAACGTTTATACATCTTTTGTATCGTTAATTTAGACTATATGAACTTTTTTTGCCTCTTCTTGAATCCGAATAATACTAGTGAAAGTAGATCGAAGATTTAAAAATCTATTTGTAGTACTAAGTTGATGTCTTATAATTTTTCCATGCGTGCTTAACTACTACAATAAATGAATGAGATGAGTGGAGATGAGTGGATGAGATCATGTGAGATTTTATCCACATCGCGAACTCGTAAAATGTACCATAGACATGATTGGTCAAAGGCAAATAACATCCTAATATCCTCCACTGTCATTGGCCATGTCTCACATTCATATAGCAAGATCGAGCGAATAGAAACTATATAGACACGGACTTTGTGCCGAAATAACGCATTTCTAGATGCTGTTATCCGGCTTTTAATTTCGTCTTTTGCCTGACCATTTGATTACCATTAGAGTGGATCCAAGGTATCTGGCACTTCCTCAACTGTCAATGAGTTTATAAAAAGAGGCAGCTTCTTGTATATTGTATATAAGACGAAAAGATCCGTTTTATTAACATCGATTTTGAGTCCAATTCTCGCTGCAGTTGTTGATACATTGTTTAACATTATTTGCATTTCCTCATAACTGTCAGCAAAAAGGACTACATCAGCGTATTCTAGGTCTATGTTCCGAACTGATTTGCGACCTCTTTAATGCCAACAAGCGATGCCCATTGTCCAATCTATCGCATAGTTGAATATTGTGGGGAAAAGGATGCAGCCCTGACACCAGTTTTTATTTCAAGAGAGTCTGTCAGTTCCCCATATACATAGATTTATGCCAAGGTATGCTGATAAAATGCCTTTATGAGTCGAATGATTCTCTGGAACACCGTCACATTCCATCAGTTTCCAGAGTGCTGTTCTATCAATTGTATCGAAGGCAAAATCGAACCCAGTCAAGTACTCAGAATCCGTCAAGGGAGGCGATAACCTATCCGCTAACATTTTGCAAACGCGGTGAGGTACTGGCTATAGCTGCTTAGAACGTCAGAACGCTTATGGATGTTGCAGTCCAAGCGATCGCTATCCGCACCCTCTCTAAATACGCCATGGATCTGGCTTATTTGTCGGAGGTCCGTCTTCCTCATATCGGTTCCCCGAGTAATTATTAAACATGGTTCCGAGCAAAGATATTGGCTATATCACAGTGGTATCTGGTGCAAAATGGCATAGCAATTGTCATGTCTGAAAAGGCTCGATCCTCTCGGATTGAGTGGAAACCAGTTAATGACCGTGTGGTGTGTTTCAAGTGAAAGTTCTGCAATATTTCGGTCATCATGCTCGAACTTTATGCGCAGATGACAGCGATAAGGATAAGTTCTATGCGCAGTTTCAATTAATATCTCTACCGAGAAATGACATGATCATAATCGGGGAAGAATGGAATGCGAGCGTAGGTTATGATACCGTTATGATCAATCAAATAATTGGCAAATATGGCATCGGGGTGGACAACGCCTTCTTCATTTTGCTAAAGAGCGTAAACTCATTGTTGTAATACATACTTTCGGCATCGGAGGCAACATCTAGTCACGTAGAACTCTCTGGATAATTATATTCCAATGAAACTGACTATATATTGGTCAGTTATAGCTGGAAGAGTTCTGTACTTGGTATCTTTCTTATCGGGATGCTGAAACCGCCATGGATCAAATCATATTTTGGTTCGAGTCAAGATTCGTATAAAATTGACAAGTCGTAAGAAACAATGTATCCCAAGATCTTTTAACCATTTCAGATTAAAGGTTCCAGGAGCAATAAATGCATTTCAAACCGTATTATTGAAATACCCGTCAATGATATCTCTGGAAAAGCAAATGAATATTGGTCCCAACTAAAGAACATGCTTACAAAGGTCAGCCACTTCCACACTAGGGTGTACTGGTACCGCTAGCTCAGTGTCGGAAGCAACCTTCCAACCTGGTGAAAAAAGAAAAAAGAAAAGAGCTGCCAATGCACAAATGACAGAAAGTCCTGACTACTATCGGGTGCTTCGAAGATTTATAACGACAGTAGCACGATCTGACAAAGATCGCTATTAGAATGATATGGCCTTGAGGATGGAGACGGCGATTCGGATAGGTGATATGAGGAAACTGTTTCGCCTTCTTTACAAAGCAACTATAACTCGAGAAGGGGCAGTGAAATAATATTAATGAGATGCCTATTAAAGGCCTCAGAAGATGGAAAGAATTTTTTGAGCTAAATTTAACCACGATGTGCCATCTATTATCCCGAATATAACTGATTTGCCCGTCGAGCCTTACGTTTGCAATTATGAGCTACCAACAGAAGAGGAAATAATTTTTGTAATTTTGTAAGCTTAAAGTCAATAAAACCCCGGAAAAGATGGTCTTCGGGCCGAACTCTTCAACTGTTGTCAATCATCTTCATTACTCACCTTCAACAAATGTATTCTCTAGTATGGCAAAAAGAAATAATACCAGAAGACTGGAGCAAAGCAATTCTGTCTCCCATTTCTAAGAAAGACGGATACAAAAATACGTACCGCGACAAGGAATCAGGAATCAGCCTGGACATCTTCGGAAAAATTTTCGCTTCCCTTCTGCCAAATATACCCAGGACAACATGACATAGCAGAATGTGTCCTAACCAAGCTGGATTCAGATCGGGATGCGGTCTATGCTGAGCAGATATTTACGCTAAGAAGGGTGCTGGAACTTAAGCTTCAAATACCAGCAAACCACCATCTGTTGCTTAATCGATTTTGCAGCTGCTTTCGATTCAATTGATAGAGCAACGCTCTGGAAAGTGATGGAATGTGACGGTGAGAGGGAAAATCATTCGGTTCATAAAGGCATTTTATCAGCATACACTGGCGCAAGTATGTATGTATATGGGGAAATAAAAATTGGTGTCCATCAGGGCTGTATTCTTTCCCCCACAATTTAACTATGCGATAGACTGGATAGTGGGCATCGTTTGTTGGCACTCAAGAGTTCTACAGATCAGTTCAGAGCATCGTATGATAAACCTTGAATACACTGATGATGTAGTCCTTTTTGCTTATAATGAATTTTGCAATTAAAGTTATAATGAAATGCGAGTAAATAATGTTAAACCGTGTGTCAAAATTGCAACGAGAATTGGACTCAAAATCAATATAAATAAAACGAAAGTGTTTTCGTCTTATATACAAGATGCTGATAAAATAGTTGTGAAAGTACCCAACTTTAAATATCTTGGATCCACTCTAATCCTAAATGGCCAGGCAAACGATGAGATTGTAAGCCAGATGTCGACAGCTAGAAATGTATTTTTTCTATTAAAATCTATGTGGAACCATCGCAAAATCACTATAAAGACGATAATCCGTGTTCTTGGCTGCAATTCGCTCTATCTTGATATATGGGTGTGAAACATGGTCGATGAGAGTGGGAGATATTAAGAAGATATTAGCCTTTGACCACTCATGTCTAAGACATTTTATGGATCAATCAAATGGATAAAAACGCACATTATTGTATCCATTTTCGCTTAATTATCATCTGTTTTGATAATATTATTATAGGGCGTTGCCTTCGCACGTTCTCCGTCATCCACCACAGGAGTTGACGCGTTTGCCTCATCAGATAATTTTAAAAGTCATGATTTTTTTCGTGACATACGAAATTCAGTTTCATGAATCATTCATTTTTTTTCGATAAACTACAATTCTAAATTATAGGTGACGGCCAATTTTATTGCATCGAATGTTCGAGATATTTCATCGATGAAGCGACAATTATAAAGCATAAAAATAGTAAAAGTATTATTTAATATTTTTTCACTAAATCGAGTCATTTTTACGGCTTTTGCCATAGTTGCCAAATGTATAAGACACAAAATTTTTATTTTATTTTTCAATATATATTTTACTTAATATATTTTACTTTCGCGAAATTGTGAAAATTGTGATTGTTTACAAATATTAATTTTTTAAATCTCAGTTTTTAACTTCTACCAATGTGTATATTTGTTGAAAGTAGTTCATCGCCGTCGAGTCAAAGCACTTATGGAAGAACCTTATTCTCAGAGAGAAGCAGAACGGGCTGCTGGTTTGGGAGTATAATTGCTGAATGAATGAGTTTTTTCGTATTGTTTAATTTCCATATGTTTCTGATATTAATGATAATGAAGTATTGAAGTATTATTCATGCAGTATTTTTTGCATTCTTCTTTCTTATTTTTTGCCATCAGCAGAGATAAAAAAGTATTTTACAAAGTATCAAAAGTAACAATGAAGTTTGCTTCATTTCATCTCGTGAAATGTATTGTTTTCCAACAAAGAAAAGGATTTTGAAGTTATTTAAGGCTTTTTTTATTCCTAAGTAATTTGGAATTATTTAATAAAAAACTTGAATGATTCGTTGGCGATTTATGTTTTCATGAAAAATGAAATTTTTATAGGATAAAAGTGGAATCATTTTAATGATTTTGCGATTCATATAGTATTAAATTTTTTTTTCCTCAGTATTCTCAAAATAAACTGACTTCTGATCTTTAATTTAACTAAACTTCTGTTACAATGCTAATTCTTGAATTCTTATTCATGCAGTATTTTTTGCATTCTCATTCTTCTTTCTTATTTTTTGCCATCAGCAGAGATAAAAATTTTACAAATTTCTTACGAATTTAAACCAATTATTTATATCGGAGTTGAATGCGTTATCACCTTTGTGATCTTATCTAATTTCGAAAATTTTTATTTTCTTAAAAGTTAACAAGAGAAAGATGAAATTAAATTATTTTCATATTTTCATGATGGGTTGTGGATGGATTGAAAAAATTTTCTGCTTAACTGATAAATGATAGATTTCTGATAATTTTAAGTAAATTTGTTGTTTTTCTAGAGTTAGGAATAGTTCATTGCTGATTAAAAAGGGGTTGGTGACTTGTTATTCTCTTCTATTTGCCTACATCATTTGGTTTCCATTAGCATTTGGGTTCAGGATACATTCCTTTTATAAATATTTCGTTCAGCTGTTTCGATTTCGTGGATTTTTTCAACATTTCAGTATTTCTTTACAATCTGGTACATTTTTTATGTTTTTTCTTGATTTTAAGGCTAATTTGTTGCATTTACTTATGGGTTTTCAAATTTCTGAATGCTGAAAGAGTAATTTACTACTATCTTAAACTAATTCACCATTTATTGTTGTTTTCAGTTTCAGTAATGACTAGGCGATCATTTTGTGATTTATCAATAACAGCAGATCGGCTAAGGAAAATCTATGAAAGACAAAAAAATTTATCATTTCAATCAACTGTTATAGAAGATATCAATCCACGGAATGTTTTTTGCAACAGTGCACTTGATTTAAAAAAGACAAAAATCTATGGATTTGATTACGATTACACGTTAGCAATTTATAAGACGTCGCTTAATAAATTGATTTATGATCTTGCCATGGGTCGTCTTATAAAACATTTTAAGGTTTGTATATTGTTTTCGATTAATTTATATAGAATCCCTTTTTCTAAATGAAGTTCTGTGATGTTTGGTTATTTTTTATTCAAAAATTTGATTGAAAATATGATGCAAAATTGGAATATTTATGAAATTTGTGACTGTAGATGTTTTATGTTTTTAATTAGATTTCAGACGATTCTAGAAACATCATTTTTTAGTATCCCAAGCAGTTGCTGGATATACCATATGATCCAAATTTTGCTATACGAGGTCTACATTATGATATCGAGAATAGTTGTCTTTTAAAGGTATATCTGCCTGGAATTTCCATTATCGTACCCAATTACTTCAGTGGTATTCTTCAATTTCAAAAACAAAAGTTTCTTAAGTCCTCGATTTGGAAAAATTTCAGAAATTCAGTGGAATGTTTAATAATTAACAAAAATTTCTTAGCTATATCTGATCGGGTAATAATGCTGGCGATTCGTTTGTATTTCTCTCGTCAAGTGATTTTCTAGTAAAATTCGTCTGGTCCGATAAACCAGCGCTGCGAGCCTAACCAGTAATGGTGAGCGCTCTTGGAAAAATATCTGATCTAAAAAAATCATTTTTTTTTAAAGATTTAACAGTTTTAATGAATATTTAGATTGATGCATTTTCTCAAATACAAAATGGAAGTGTTTATCGTGGCCGTCGAAAACTGAATAGGGATGAAACAATGAAGATTTATGGCAGTTTAATTATATCTGATACAAAAGTGAGAAATAAATGATCAGATTGTTCTTATAACCATTTTGTCTCCAATACTTTGTATCTCACAGTTTTTTAATTTTTTCTTTCTTGCTTTACTTTACATTTTGGATGATTTTGTTCAATTTTAGTTTTAAAATAATCTAAATGGTGATGTTTATAGCGACGAGAACTTATGCAGTTAAGCGATCTGTTTAGCCTTCCATGGGCCGGTCTACTTTCGACTGTCGTTCAATATTTTGATGAAAATTCTATCGACTTCGACCCATCGTGTACGTTTGAAGACATTGAAGTATGAAAGTCAAACCGTTTGAACTAATTATATATTAGTGAATTTGTCTTTAATATTATTAAAATATACAAGTGAACATGAAAAATACCACTCATTTTTTTTGAAAATTCTTGTTCAGATTTCTGAGAGTTGTGATAATTTTCAGGCTAGTGTACGTTATATTCATAGTACCGGTCTAATGCATAATACTGTTATGCATAATTTGAAAGAATATGTGCATAAAAATATTGGTTTAAAAGAGTATTTATCTCGATTAGTAGACAAAGGAAAGAAGTTATTTATGGTCACCAACAGCCCTTTTCCATTTATGTTAGTACTAACGTTTTAATTTAGGATGCGGAAATTGTTTATTAACCAAAAGATGTTAAGGAATCGAGGTATGTGTTACATGTTAGACGAAAACTGGCGCGATTACTTTGAATGTATAGTCGTTATGGCTAAGAAACCAATTTTTTTCAAAGGCCGTGCACCATTTCGACTATACCATGAAAATGACGACAGTTTATCATATGAAAAAGTGACCTTTCTAAGGAAAGGAACGATTTATGCTGGAGTAAGTTTATTGTTTACGGCTTACAGTTTAATAATGTTTTAAGATGTTTTTTACTGAATCCATCAGATCTTTGTATTATATTTCAGGGTAATATTCAGACTCTTTCTCTTCAACCATTTTTCGAAGGTAAGGAAGTATTATATTTTGGAGACCATATTTATGTCGACTTAGCTGATCCAGTATTATCTTTGGGATGGCATACAGCAGCTATTGTACCGGAATTAGCTCGTGAAATTCGATTACAAAATGATCCTAAATATCGTTGTGCTGTTATTTGGCTGCAAAGCTTGACATCTTTGATTGAAAATTATCAAAACTCAGTCACTAGAGATCGTGAAGTGGCAAATTTGATTACAGCTTGGCTGAACGAGAGAAGAATTATTCGGTTAATCTTTGCTTTGGTTTTCAATCAACAGTGTTAATTGATATTGCAAGTTGCTTAGCGCTAGCATTTTAATGAGGGATTGGTTTTTTTAATGGTTCTTCAAAACGAGACTGTTAAAATAATCCAAAGGCAAAATTTTATATTTTCAAGTCAAATAAACTCATTCTTTTAGAAGATTGGCATTTTTTTATCGATTTAATATTTCAGTTTTTTTAAGGCAAAGAATTAAGGAAATGTTCAATCCTCAATTTGGCTCAATGTTCCGGACTTATCATAATATGTCGTATTTTTCACGACGGCTCAATCGCTTATCTCATATATATACAAGCCGACTTCCAAATATGCTTCGTTACAGTGATAATCATGTATTCTTTCCGCAGCGAAATGCTTTACCTCATGAATTGCAAATGTTTAATATCCCCGAGTTTACTGAAAAAGTAAATCAGTGAGCTTTGACTTTTTTTCTAAAATTAGTACTGACCTTTCAATCTAACTAATTTATCTAAATAATTATATAATTATATGAACCTAAATAATTAAATTTTTTCGTATTTTTCCTCTGATGAAAAAAGATTTTTAAATTATTTCCTTAGTTTTATTAAATGCCTTAAATGATATTAAATAAAATCGTAAATGAAATTGTGTTCTACAGTTTTAAATAGATTTACTCTTACTTTTTAATAAATATATTTTGCAAAAATGCAAAAAGTATTGAAAAACAAATATATATTAAATAATATTTAATTATTGTAGTTAAATATTAAAAGTTAAAATCTATTTTGCAAATGAAAAAATGTGCGTGGAAAGGTGGCTCAAACTCATAAAAACAATTCATACTGTTTAGATAAAATCATAAAAAATCACCTAGAATAATAAAATTTAATATATTAATTCTTTCGTATTTTATGTCAATTTTTAAAAAGAATCCAAATTTCTAGCAAAAACAAATTTAGAAAAGATTGATTAGGACTCTAATTATTTTATACGTTTTGTATTAGAATTTTTATTCACATTTCTAACATTTTTAAATATTTTTCTAAGAGTACGTCTACCTAACCTTCCATAACCTCTATAATGCCTCCCTACTTTATGCAAACCTTTTTTTTCATATTCTGATCGTATTTTATACTCGAATTCTTTCGCCGTGCGTAACCAGCCAAAACGTCGAAGTATGTAAAATGCAAGTTGTATACCAACAATAGTCGTTATATAACGCAGAGGCGTTGCTATCTGCATTTTTAATATTTAAAGTATCTAGTGGATGGAATTACAAAAAAAAAATACTTTAAAAAACGAAAAAGAAATGGACGATACCTTATACAAGATAAAAGCCACCAGGGCAGTGCCAGCACTAGGTGGCGTTTTTTTAACTTTCTCAACTAATATCTCAGGAACATTAAAATATTCTAACATAGCGACTATATCGATTCCGCTGAAATTATTTTGATTTTATTTGAAATTATTTTGATCGAGGATTTCGAACATTTTAATTTTAAAATAAATTTATCTATTTGAATCTATTGTATTGGCAAAAAGCTTTTTTCTTTCATTAAAATCTATTTGAATCTATTTTATTGGCAAAAAGTTTTTTTCTTTCATAAGTTCCAAGCAAAACTTTTCGGATGAAAACTGCTTTTAAATTTTAGTATTTTCTTGTTCAAATGTGATAATCAAATACCATCTGCATTAACAATCATCATAAAGCATTACCTATGCTAGTTAGGCTATGTTCTCCACTGGCCATCGTGAAATAATAATATCTCGCTAATTGCTAAACCTTGTTATGGATGGTGTCAAAAGTTAACAATCAAGGGTTGATAAAATCAAGAAAAACCTTGAACATGATGGAACAGCGATTTATGAACGCAGACAATGAAAAAAAAAAAATTTTGTCAAATATGGCATCCAGTGAAGGGCTTGAAATATCTTACCTTTGTAGCCAGCGAAGCCATTTTAATTAATAATGGTGAGACCTGTTAGAAAAGAGGAATTTGCCTACTTCAAAAGTATGATGAAAATTTCTTGAAATGATAGAGGCAAATTTTATATCATAAAATCTTTACCTTCTAACGATAAGGTAGGCGATGGCAAACCATAAGATACAACTAACTGTGTGCACAGGAATCGCTATGTACCAATAACGTTTGAAATAATATCTTATTTTCTGGAGGATGGTCCTTGGCTTTTCTTCCTAAATGAATTCCATAAGTATTAATGCATGCAAAATGAATCATTATTTTTCAAATATTCAATTTCTTTTATAACCTTTGCAAACTGAAATTTTGCGAATTTCCTTAAAAAAAAACTTTTCTCATCCCTTGTGTGTGGTCATGACATCCTCAACCTCAGGTTCTCTACCAGAGGTCTGTGAGATTGAGAATTCTAAGCAGCATCTTAGCTATCCCTAATAGCTCTTCTGGATAGAGATCTCTGATCTTGGAAGCTGGCGAAGATATTTTTCTAGTTTAAGGACCACAGTTCCAGGAATATATCAATGAGATAGCACTGAATTGCTAAAAGAATGTTGAAGCATGTATATACATTGGAAAATGATCAAGCAGAGGAAATACCATGGAAAAGCAAGACCTTTCATGGATTGCACCACTGACAGATAGCTGAGGTAAGCTGACATTGAAATCCTACGTTAGATAAAGCCGGACTTCAAGGCAATATAAACCACTATAGTAGCACAGAAGCAAGCACTAAGAACCAGTTATCAATGCTCCAATTATCACTGGAATTACCTTTTTTTTCCATTCTTCCTTTCTGACGTTCCTTTCACCTGCTATTGCTATATTTATCGCCAATGCTGATTTCTGATTTCGTCTACTGATGATATTTGGTTGATTGGATTTGTCTGTTTGAGTGAATCTTCGCCTTATTGTTGTTGATTTTCTGACGAATTTCCCATTCAGTTTTGAGAAAGTCTAAGCCTACCAAGTAAATGTTTCTGCAAATGAATGCCGGCTACTTGGTTATACTTTTCAGTATTCGTTATTCCTGCATTTTACATCCTGTGTTGGACTGTTTCTAAGGCATTTTTGTACAAAGTCTCTAGAGTCCTGTCTAGTGTAAAGATCCTTATTTCGATGAGTCCAGTGCTGCTATAATCAATGCCTCAATATTGCCTTTTAATCTGGCTTTATTTAACGAAGGATGTCAACGTCGATGGTGTAATCCAATAAGATCCTTGCTTTGCAATGGTGTTTCCTCTGCTTGACCGTTTTCAAAGTCTGCAAATGCTCCAGACATTCATTTAGCAATTCATCCTTTGCCTCAATGATATATTGAGGCTTGCTTCTAGTTTCGTTCAAGATAGTGGTTTTCGCAATCGTCAAACTTCACCCGCCTTTTTTCCAGTTAGTACTGGATTTGGAATGGAAATTTCCGTGCATTATGAAGAATTTCCTGGTCTTTATCAGCAATCTCTCCATGCCTTCCTTTGTCTCTCTTATAGTGCCAGCTGCGTACCTGATGACTGGCAGAATGTGTATATCTATAGCATGAATTTCGTTCTTTCCATTGGGCTGGCTCTTTAAGATTTGTCTTGTCCTTTGGTGTTAGACGCAGTCTTCCATGCCTTCTCATCGTTATTACCATGTGACTATGGGATACCAAGGTACATGTGGCTAGCCTTTACGTCCTCTATCTATCTTGATGGAAGGTCCACTCCATTAGCCATTGCTACTTTTCTTCCTTTTATTACTAACCGGCCACATTCCTCTCATCCGAATGACATCTCAGTGTCTTCGCTATAGATCCATGTTAGATGGATAAGCGAGTCAATATCTCATTCACTTTTTGTATGTAACTTGATGATATTCAAATAAAAAAGATGGCTGATGGCATCCCCCTCTTGAAATTTTATTTTATATTATTTTTTATAATATACTTCTCATATAATTCCCATAGATTGTGATTTTCAAATTTCTAGAAATTTCAAATTTTACCTTTTTCATTTTTTCAATTTCTTCCTGCTTTTTTTTCTTTTCATCTTCATTCATGACTATATGCCAACGACTTCGTTGCTGAAAAAACTGTCAACGAATCTTTTAATTTTCATGGAAAAAAATTGCATCTGAGAAAATAAAAAGTTGTTCGAAAAAAAATTTTTTAATCCAAAAAATACCCTTGCAGGCACAAAGCAATGAGTGTTTATTAAATTTCTATCGTTCAGAAACGACGAGCTGCTCAAACTGAGAATTCGTTCGCGTTGATCGAAGAGTACATAGGAAAAGTATGATGATACTGGTAATGAATAATGGTGACAAAAAATGTCATATGAAATCAACAATTTGGTATTGTTCAAAAGTCTGCAAAATCTCTGACTGATTGGTACCATCCTTTTAACTGAAATCAAATTAAAATTTCAAAAAGTAAAATCCCTAAATTTTAAAATACACCCAAGCAAACTTCCATAAAACTCTCAAAATGCCAAGCATGCCTTTATGAGTCTTAAATACTGATATTAACCCTATGCAGCTCCTCTAAAAACTCAAATATTCTTAGTTGTAAAAAATGTAGCTTTCAGAAATCTATTAATTATAAGATATTTTGCGACTACCATTGAAGATTGAAGTAAAAAAATCCAATTTGACCTAATTCTATTTTCCTACGGACTCTTATAAACAATAGGTAAACGTTAAATCAATGTTTTACTTATTTATTTTTACTTTAAATTCGTTATGGAAAGAAAAAACAAAACGTTTCGCGTTAAGAAAAACTTTACTTATCTTCAGCTTTATATTACAAACAACAAGAATATTTCAGTAATCTTCAGAAGCGATAAATATACTCCGGGAATTTCTAATATATTCAAACGTAAGTAATATAATATAATTGTTCTAATAAAAAATATTATAATGCCATTAAGACACAACTTAAAAGACACAAAATGTTCTTCAATTATTTATATTTAACATTTATTAATTTATTCAATTTACTTAATATTTATTACACTTTTAAATTCCTGAAACAATGTGATCAAAAACCTTTTTTAAAAATCGTTTTGCAATAATTGAAAACTATTGAAGAAAAACAATCTGTTCGAAAATAACGATTTTCAAGCATACAACAATATCATATTTCAAATAACTGCATATTTAAAAGTTCTTCCAAAAAAACGCTTAAAACCTATGTTTTTTAAGTTTAACCACTTTCCATACTTTCAATTTCCAAAAAAATTGATTGAATACTAAAAATTTCTTTATAATATAGAATTTCGGCACACATGTATATGTTATACAGGAATATTACTAATAACAATGTTTCGTTTCTATACTATCAATTGGCTCTTATAATTGTAAGCGAAATAGAGCACTATGAATGCGAGGAGTGTAACAACAGTTTCAGACGCAACAGGCGACGCTTTCGATACTCCCTTAAAGATTCAAAAAATGAATGAATAAGACAATGGTTTTATCCTCATATATCTATTAAAAAATAGAAAAAAATCAAACCGGATGTTTGAAAGAAATCACAAATAATGGCTTTATATTCTGCGTACTTTGGTTACTCCGTTCTGCCTTAAAAATTGTGGAATCATTAAGGTATTAATTCCGTGAAATTTCGTGAAACTTTACAAATTTATAAATTTAGAATTTAGGTGTTTAAAACAACTTAATCATTTATAAAGCATATCAGCAATGGGATTATGATAAGATTTACCTTTCTATAAGCTGAAAAGCCATCTTCATCATAAATATAAATATTAAAAGTCTGAGCCCCGGACTGATCATGTTCAAGCTGCCAAGAAATTTGATGTTTCGCTGTCTCTTCCGACATGGCTATTTGGTAGGTTTTCCCGTTGATAATACCATATAACATCATATCCTAGAAAAATTACTTTTTGGAAAAAAAGAATGAAAATTGCAACGAAAAACCTTAAATTTATACGCTTATTGAAAGAATTTTTCCAAATTAAAAATTGTTTTTTTAAAATTATTTTCATAATGATAAATAAATTCAAATTTAAACAGTCAGAAATTATTAATTAGGATTATTAAAAAATTAGAATAAATCAGAAGAATAAGATAAAAAGGTGGTTTTACTAATAGGATATGGCAAAAAATTACAATAAAAAAAAATTAGCCTTAGGTGGACCATTATCGGAGCATGTGGTTATGTGGCTATGTCTAACAGGATATTATTATTAAAATCAACGAAAGAGGATATTGGGTGTATAGGAGATTATGAGATGGAATAGCGAGATTTCAAAAAACGCATACTAAGCTAGTGTTTGAGGAGAGGAGGTTCCATAGAATATAACAAATTTGGAAAATATTTTCCCACACAAATAAATTGTGAACAAATTATGTAGGGTGTAGATTTAATAAAGAAAGCGTGTAAATTACTTTAGGATTGTTGGCGCACTGTAAATTGAATTCCACTATATAAGTAGTGCTAAAGTGAAAAAAAGCATCTGTTGTTGAAAAAGTTGCTGAAGAATATTTTGGATAATCACATTTCGTTGCTGAAATAAAATAAAATGATGAAATCTTGTCTTATAAAACGCATTCAAAAAAGTGAGTTGAAAAATAGTTAAGTTTATGAATTTTATGATCGACTTCTTTTTGATAAAATTTTTAATAAATCAGAGTCCATCTAACTGCTTATATATCAACATTAATTAAATCAGGAAAAATTTTATTTAAACAAATTTCACTGGAAAATTTTAGTTTTTTAAAAATAGTAAACAAATAGTAAATAGAAAAAAGATAGTAAATAATAACAGTAAATAGTATAAGGTTATCAAAATAAGGAAATAAAATTCAGGAGAAAAATGAGCGAAAATTACCGAATAATCCTTGTATTAGAAGAAGAAATGGAAAAACTTCGAAGAACATTTTTCAACAAATTTGAAAATCTGAAAATAATGATAAAACTTCAGAGACCCTTTTGTACAATGAATTTCTTGCAAAAATATAAATTTTCTCTGAAAAAAACTGGCTAAAAAATGCAAAAGAAATATAATAAAATTACATTCAATAATTCTCAATTTTCCATTTGTATTGACAAAAGGAAATTAATTTTTATTTATTTGCAAATTAATTTTTTAATTCCAAGAATTACCTATTTCGTTATTTTATTATTTATTATTATTAATAATTTATTATTAATTTGCTATGTCTCCGAAAATCAGCCACTTCCACGCTAGGGCATACTAGTAGGAAGTGCGTTAGTTGGGTATCGGAAGCAACAGTCCAATTGTCTGAAAAAATTGCCAAAGCACGAATGTCAGGTGATCCTGACTACCGGGTGCTTCGAAAATTTGCAACGAAAGCAGCACGGCGGGACAGAAATCTCTATTGGAGTGACATGGCCTTAAAAATGGAGGCGGCGGCTCGATTAGGCGACAATAGGAAACTACCTTCTTCTGCCTTCTTCATAAAGCAACTATGACTCGGGGAACGATCAGTGAAATGGTAAAAGATAGCAATGGCGTATTAATCAAAAGTAGTAAGGATCGCCTCATAAGATGAAAAGAATTCTTTGAAGCCAAACTTAACCATGAAGCGCCATCTGTCGCCCCTGATATAGCTGATACGCTTACCGAAGCACACGCTTGCAATTGCGAGCCTCCAACAGAAGAAGAAATAATTTCAGTTATCCATAAGCTTAAGGCCAACAAAACTCCAGGAGAAGATGGTCTTCGGGCTGAGCTTTTCAAATGCTGTCCATCATCCCTCATAACGCACATTCAACAAATGTACTCTGTAGTCACGGAAAAAAGAAATATTACCAGATGATTGGAGCAAAAGCAATTTTGCTCCCAATTCTCAAGAAAGTTGTATATTGTGACAATTATCGAGGAATCAGCCTATTAGACATCTCAGCAAAAATTTTTGCTTCCCTGCTACTCAACAGACTTGTGGAAGTACGGAACAACAGGATGCGCCCTAATCAAGCTGGTTTCAGACCAGGGCGCGGTTGTGCTGACCAGATATTCACGTTAAGACGTTAAGAAGGGTGTTGGAACATCGCTTCAAATATTTGCAACCCACTGTCACATGCTTTATCGACTTTGCTGCTGCTTTTGATTCAATTGATAGAGCTGCGCTTTGGAGGGTGATGGAACTTGATGGTGTTCCAGAGAAAATCATTAGACTCATAAAGGCTTTTATGAGCGCACGTCGGCGCAGGTCTGTGTATATGGGGAGTTGACAGATTCCTTTTAAATAAGAATTCGAAATAAGACCATCTTTGTTCAAATACAACTTGCATAAATAATATTACCACAGAGCACCGCCTTCGCTGGTTAGTGAACATTCTCCGTCGTCCACCACAGGAGTTGATGCATATTTCGTTATTTGCTAAACTGTGCGTCAAAAGCGAGTGGGCGAATCAAGACCTCGACTGATGCGGTGAGAAAAGATTTTGAACGTATAGATGGACCAGCAATATATGGACTTAGACGATGGAAAAAGGAATTGCTTCCATTACTGTCGACGATAGCATCAGACGGCGCCGCTTGGAAGCGTCTTACCCTTGTAGCCGTTGGAGCCAGCCTAACCACTAATGGTGAGAACTATTAGAAGAAGAAAAAGTGTCGGCAAGCGGTGCCCATAATCCATTCTACCGCATAATTGAAAAATGCCTAAGCCTAAGCCTAACCAGTAATGATGAGAGCTGTTAGAAGAAGAAAAAGAATTTATTATTGATTATCAACTTTTACAAATATTTTTTATGGATGAATATCTTTCATGTATGTCGAATTATTTTTAATAAAATATATAAAAAAAAAAGGAAACGATTCATCGACATAAAAAAGAAGAAAAAATGATATAAAAACAATAAAATATAAATATTAAACACAATAATTCTACAGCTAAGCCAATGCTAACGGAGTGGCTGAGGCGCAAAAAGTTCGCAGTGTTATCCAATCGACGAAAAGCTCTGATAGGCCTCGCTGAAGCGGCCGAAGTCCACCTCGCCGCAGTGAAAAGCAGTAAAAATGCACTCAACCGCGCAGTTGCGCCTTGGGTGCTGTGGCAAACAAACAAATGCAAATTGTGCAAAATGAACGGAAAGTAAAGAAATTAGTCGGGTCGAACAGCTCGGAAACGCTGTTTGCGGTGTCAGAAATTTATTAAAGAAAGTCGAAATGAGGAAAATTGAGCGAAAAATTAGCTGCGAACTGCGAACAGCAAACTGAAAACTGAAAACGGAAAAGCGTGAATATAAATGCAAATACAAATGAAATTTGATTCAATCGAACCAAATTTCCGTCAAAAAAATTCGACGAAAATGAGGAAAAATTACACTAAAATCATGCATAATTACACTTAATATATATCGGATTTACGCCAATTTAAACAAATAAATTCCAAGCAAATCAGGCCAATTGGAAAATGTGCGTGACGCCTGCAGTCCACTTCCACTTCCAATGGCGAGCGCTTCCCTCCTGAATTGACCCACTCATTAACGATGCGATGAGCGTTAACCACTTTATTTCCAACCGCTATCCGCGACTGCAAGTTAGCGAAAGGTACGTTTGGCAGCTTTTGGCCGAGCTGCGAGGAATTTAATCCGAGATATCTTACAATTTTTAATTTTGTTGGTGAAATTCTCGATAGGGCGGTTCGAATTATCTCCGAAATCCGTTAAGCAAGGGAATTAAAATACAATTTAGAAAATACTGATTCATCAGTCATTCAGAAATCGCTTCGAAGGTACCTTACTTTGTCTGTATGAAGCAGTGCGATGGAACTAAACTTGTAGTGAAACGTGTGGAGTCCAGATAGTGCGGAGGTACTTCTATGGCCTTAGCTCCTCGGCGAAAAGGACCGATTGTGGTGATCAGTCCGGCCAAAGCAGAAACTGTAGGCACCGTTAGCAGAAGGCGTGCAATCACTGCACGCTTCGCTGCTCATATTTTCGATTAAAAATAATTTAGCTTATTTATTTTATGTTTAAAAGGCAGAAGCAGATAACCTGCTGATGTGACTTTATTAAAATTTTATTATTAATTTTAGCAGACTTGGCAAACCTTTTAGTTCATACAACCTCCCCTTTAGAAAGTACCATCTTGTTTCCAACATTAGATTGCAAGTAGTTATTGCTTGGAAGACTAGATTTTTTTCATGTCTCTCTTATTGCTTAAGGATTTATCGACAGATCAAGAATTGTTGAAGATCAACAAACCACACATGGGATGGTTGAGTGGTGTAGTTGTGTCATGCATCAAGGGTTCCATTTGGGAAATTATTGCTTCTGTGAGTAAAGGATTACGCTGGTGAATGTGGGTCTGTTTATAGGTGTCCAATCGTTTATAACTTTAAAATTTTGGAGAGCATTTAGGAAATTTTGTCTGCGCATGTTCTAAATTTTATTAAAATTCTTTGCGGCCTTGGCGAAAGTCAAGTGATGAACTAATGAATAAAATAAAAATAAGGACTTATTTCTATTTAAAAGCATTTATTCAAGGAAAATACGAATTGCATTTGAGTATTTTTATATTTAAAAATTTATTCTCGGTTTGAAGTAAATTTCTTTCCTTAATTAATTAATTAATAAAGGGATTTCTTGCGATGTAAATTTTAATTTTTAATAATATTTCTCTTTTAGTTAATATTCATTGAATTATTTTAAAATTGAAGATGAATTCGCACAGAATACAATGCATTTCCATTTTTTATTTAAAATAACTCTAAATGCGAAACAAATGAAACAACAAGAAACGGTAAAATTTAATTTAGTTAACTAATGAATTTCAGCATTTCTGATGGATCTCTCTGGCTCCATTCTCAACTGAATGTTTGCAAGAAGGGCACCGGAAAATCAGTTTTTGCCTTTCAAATTTGTTCGATAATTTACCTTTATATAACCTAAGTTTTTCATTCAATATTTTTTTTTAAATCCCCTGTTAATTACAGTTTTTCTAGTTTTGAAAGATGTAAAATTAATTTGTTTGAACCATTTTTCCCCTTATTTTTATTTGTAATATGGTTGACTGGGGATAGAATGGCTCAGTGGGTTTTGAACCATTTTTCCCCTTATTTTTACTTGTAATATGGTTGACTGGGGATAGAATGGCTCAGTGGGTTTTTGCTCAGTTGGGAGCGCCGATACTGAGAAGAATAAACATAAAAATCCAGGTGGTGCTCTTGTACATCTATGGTCAAGGGACTTCTTAGCATATTTGCGACAAGCCAGCGGAGCGAGTTTAATCAGTCATGGTGACTTTTAAAGAAAAAAATGTGGTTGATTGATTTGTTTATCATAGATATCTGTAATATGAAGAATGTGATACTTTTTGGTATTGCTAGTGCGATTTTCGTTACCGGTTCTGTTGGTCTGTATGTAGCACACAAAAGTATGCAAAAGAAAGTTCGGTCTTTACCACATTATAAGTAGCAATTTATTTTTTAGAACATATTCTTTATACATTTGCTTTAAAGTGTAGAAATTTTCTTCTTTTTGGAAAAGTTTGCCGATAAAATTTCTAAAAAATTACTACTAAAGTCATGTTTAACAAATTTTTAAAGAAACGTGGTACCAGGTTATGCATATTTGCAGGAAAGCATTACAAATTTTATCAGAGCATGAAAAAGCAATGAAAAATCTTGGGCCTCCACTTAGAGTAGGAAATATTGATCTTGATGATCGAGAACGAAATTATGTTGGTTCTTCAAAATCCGAAGTATTTTTCCGTTATTAATTGTTTTGAATGTCTCTTAAATCATATAAATTTTGTATGCATTATTTTCAAATGGTCACTATCGAATATCTAAGAAATATCTCATTTTTATATTTAGAAATTTTATAGTTTTTGAAAATTCCCCTAAGTTGTCTCGATTGACTAAATTCTGTTTGATTAATTAATATTATCCTATTTTTTATTTATTTCCATCAGCTATTTTCAGCTGCGTATTCCGATTTCTGGGCAATTAGATGGTGGATTCATTGAAGTGCGTGCGCAAAAACAATTACCAGCTGATGATTTTATCACATCTCAAGTGGAGCTTGAACTCAACAAAAATAATATGAAAATAATTATTTATGATGATGGAGATTGGATATAAAAGAAGAATTTCTCTTCTTTGTAGATCGCAGTAAACTACCTTCGTTTTACAAATTATTTTTATTGGCTTTTACTGGTACTTTTTTCCTTGATCAAAAGCGTTGGACATTTACTGAACAATCGAAATAATTTTGTTTTTCGTGAATTTTACTTCTTGTTTACAAGCGATTTATGCGTTGGTCTAATTGATTTCTTGCTGGCAGTCATTATCTATTAAAATCTCCCAATTAGATAAAGATTTATCATTTCCTAGAATATTGTGAAGAAATTTCATCCTTCATTAAAAATTAAAAGTTTCAAAGATCTGCGCTATTAAATTAATTTATTGAAGTGATGAATAAATTAATAAGTATTATTAATAAATATTAATAAATACATTCATACATATTTTTTATCTTATTAATAATTATTTATGAAATACAATTATTTTATTTGGGATTTATTAGCGTTATTTTAGTAAATTAGTGAATAGCAAGTTAATACGGCGTGTTGTTTTTTTCTATTTCATTTTCTACTTTACTTCATTAAGTAGAGATTAATCGTTTCATCGCAGGTTTCTCTTTTTTTTCTTTAATTTTTAAAAAGAGCAGAAAATTTTTATTTATTTAATCGCCTATTAACACAGCCATTCCACGACTTTATTTTAAATTCAGAGAAGTGAATTCCCATGTGTCATTAAATTGACTATGTTGCTTTCCCTATCTAGGAAATACTTTTAGTTTCCGCGTAATCCTGGAATGTTCGAATTTCAAAATCTCATACTTCGAACCTTATTCGACCGTTCAATTTTATTCAATTGTCTTTCAGCAAATGCTTTTTTATGATTCCTTTTTCGGTAATTTCGATTTATTTTTTGCATAAATGATGTTTGTTTTGTTGAGCTATTTTTATTTGCTTATATTTTGATATAAAATGCGAATTAAATGAATGCGATTGGCACCGTTCGATATTTTTGCAATTTATATGGCTTTTATTTGAGAAAAAAATTTTTTTTAAAGTATTATTAAAGTATTATGGCAACTTTTGCATATCGTAGACTGTCGAACGTTTATTGGTTATTCTGTGATTTAGGTATGCAGCAGATTTTATCTAATCTTCTTATATTCTGAATGTTACTACAAAACAGGTTTATGTTATAAATAACTTTATCTGAATGAATGTGTTAACATAATGCACTCAGAATCAAAAAATCGGGAAACGTGGAATATCAGCTGAGGTCAAGCATTACTGGTTCGATTCTTCTTTCTAGGTCCAAGTTAATTTGTCATCACTGAAAGAGAATGGTGCTACACTTCTATCAAAAGTAAATATTTGAGGAGTCGGTCGTATCCTAAATGGAACAAATCAAATCAAAACTGAATATGTTGTTGGAAGAAGGAAATTAGTCATGAGAAGCTATCTAAAATTCTTTAAAAAAATTAATTTTTTATTTCAGAAAATTGGGATAATTGGGATTTTAAAAAACATCTTTTAATTTATTCACTTTCATTGCTTTTCACATAATTATTTTCCATTAGTTTAATTTAAAATAAAGAATGCAGGAAGAGTGCAATATATCACTTATATCATTTAATGGTATTCACGTGCGTTTATCTGCCGTACGTGTGAAGCCGAAGACTCACTTATTCTTTTTGTTTGGCTGACTGTGTGCTATTTAAGATAAGGCCGATCTAATAAAAGTGGGACAGACGAGTTTACTTGGATCTGTGATTGGTCTTATGGTACTGTGAAATATAAAAAGTTTTAAAAATTCATCTCTTCTGCTAAGAAATTGGGTGGTTATTTAACTTATTTTTATGCTTACTAATCGTTCCTCGTTGTTTCCTTTTTTGACTTTTTGTGGAACATAGAAAAAACTTTTCATCTCCTTTCACTTCACTGGGCGAAGTGTAAATTAATGTTGAGTGGCTATTGTTACTACTATAGAATAGCAAAAACTATATTTTTTATTTGTTATATGTTCTCGCTAGCGCGGTTCGAAACTTTTGATAGGGAATCAATTGAAGAGATTAGGAAGTGCAGTTGAGTAACCATGTGCTGGATTTTTTTGGTGATAGGTTTGGTCATGTCGGAGCCAAAATCGTTGCCTCTTAATAACAGCCATCTCCTCGACTATGTGGCCATCAATATTTTTATAACCTTCAGATGGATTCTTTTTCTTTTTCTGTGCTTTGAATTATAGACGAAATTTTGTTTGGAAATGAATCATTTTTGTAACAATAATTATTTAAAATTCTTCATGAAGGTTTTTGCTGATAGTTCAATTTGACCTGAAAAGTTCCAATTTTTTTTCCCATACTGCAATGTTATGTAGTAATTTGCAGCCCTTTAATATTTTGCTTTCATGTACGTATGAAAATCTTAAATCATCTGCTGTAAATCGTTATTTATTATGGATACTCTGAAAAGCTACTCAGATACTTTTAATTATAGCTTAGTGTTCTTAATGTTTAAAACCTTCTTTTTCTTCTTCTTCTAACAGGTCTCACCATTGCTGATAGGCTGGCTTTGCTGGCTATAAGAGTAAAAGGTTTCCAAGCTGCCCAATCTGACGCCATCGCTAGTAGTAATAGAAGCCATTCCTTTTTCCATCACCAAAGTCCATATATTGCTGGTTCAAAATTCCTGACTGTATCAATCCAGGTCTTGACTGGCCTTTCTCGCTTTTGACGCCAATCATCATATGGTTTAGCAAGTAAGAAATATATATCAACTCCTGTGGTGGAGGGCAGAGAACGTGCCCTAACCAGCAACGCTCTGTGATAACGTTATTAATATAGTAGTGTATAATATGGTGGTATTTGAGCGAAGGTGGATACAATCATGTGCGATTTTATCTGCTCGGCAGATTAGTAAAATGTACCTTACTAATAGCTTCTTAATATCTTCCATTCTCATTGGCCATGTTTCGCAACCATGTAGCAAGATCGAATGAACTGCAGCTATATGGACGCGGATTTTCGTCTTAATGGTGATTTCGCGACGATTCGATAAAGGTTTCATCAACCGGAAAAACAATTTTAGCTGCCGTTATTTGGGTCACGATTTCATCTTTGCCTGGTCATTTGAGATTAGAGTGGATCCAAGGTATTTAAAGTCCAGCATTTCCTCAACTGCAGCGAATTGATAAAAGTAGCTATTTTATCAAGATCTTCTATATAAGGCGGAAATACTTTCGTTATATTTACATTGATTTTGATTTAATTCTCGCTGCATTTGACACATTGTTTAATATTATTTGCATTTCTTTGCATTTCCTCTTAACTGTCAGCAAAAAGGACTATATCAGCGTATTCTAGGTCTGTGATGCTATGTTAACTGTGAACTAATCTGGACACCTCTTTAATGCCGACATGCGGTGTCCATTATCCAGCATAGTTGTATAGTGTAAGAGAAAGGACACAGCCCTGACAAACACCAATTTTTATTTCAAGAGTCTATCAGTTCCCCATATACACAGTCTTCTGTCAGGGTATGCTGATAAAATGTCTTTATGAGTTGAATGATCTTCTCTAGGACGCCGTCACATTTCATCATTTTCCAGAGTGCACCTCTATCAATCGAATCGAAAGCAGCTGCAAAATCAAAAAAACAAATGATGATGGGTTACTGGTATTTGAAGCGATATTCCAGCACCCTTCCTAGCTCTGCTCAGCAAAGACCTTGTCCCGGTCTGAATCCAGCTTGGTTAGGATGCATTCGCTTCTGCTATCTCTTATTTCCATGAATTTAGCAGAAGGGAAGCGAAAATTTTTCTGGAGATGTCCAGCAGGCTGATTCCTCGGTAGTTGTCGCAATACGTCCTATCATCTTTCATAGGAATGGGAAGTAGAATTGTTCCAGTCTTCTGGTATTATTTCTTTTTGCTATACCAGAGAATACATTTGTTGATGGTGAGTTATGAAGATGATCGACAATAATTGAAGAGTTCGGCCCGAAGACCATCTTTTCCGGAATTTTATTGGCCTTAAGCTTACAGATTAACAGAAATTATTTCTTCTTCTGTTGGCGATTTACAGTTGCAAACGTAAGGCTCGACGGGCAAATCAGTTATATTCGGGACAATAGATGGCACATCGTGCTTAAGTTTGGCCTCAAAAAATTCTTTCCATCTTCTGACGGTCTTTAAAAGCTATCCCATTAATATCCCGTATCATTTCACTAATCCCTTCTCGAGTTTTAGTTGCTTTGCGGAGAAGGCGAAACAGTTTCCTCTTATCACTTGTCCGAGTCACCGATTCCATTCTTAAAGCCGTATCGCTCCAATAGCGATTTCTGTCCCGCCGTGCTGCTGTTGTTATAATTTGTTGACGCACCCAATAGTTAGGATTTCCTGTCATTTGAGCGTTAACAATTTTTTCATACAGTTGAACAATTGCTTCTGACACCCAACTAGCACATTTCCTATTATTATTCCCTAATGTAGAAGTGGCTGACTTTATAGGCATGTCTTTAGTTGGGAACAATATTTATTCGTCGTTCCAGAGATGTCACTGACATTCATTTCACTAAGGTGTTTCAATAATGCGCTTTGAAATGCGCTTATCGTTCTCAGATCTTTTAATTTAAGATAGTTGAAAGATGTTGGGATACATTGTTTCTTACGACTTGTCAGTTTTATACCAATCTTGGCTCGAATCATAACATGATCTGATCCATGGCGGTTACCGATTTCGTCCCAGTAAGAACGACTATCGAGTACAGAATTCTTCCAGCGGTGATTGACTAATATATAGTCAATCTGATTAGAATATTGGTTGTCCGGATAGTTCCACGTGACTAGATGTTTCCTCCGATGCCGAAAGCATGTATTAATAACAAAGAGTTCTCCATTGGCGCATTGAGCCCCAATTCCATATTTGCCAATCACCGAGTTCATCGAAACAGCATCATGGCCTACGTCTGGCTCCTTGTTGACATTATAAGCGGTTGTGTCGAAAAGGTCTCTGCTTATTAATCAATAAAATTAAAAAAAGATATTTTTTATCGCTATATTATATT